TGTCTGCCACAAAATCATTGCATGAATGCTTATGCTTAAACGAGTGATCGAATTCCACGAGTCCACACGGGAGTTTTCGAAAGTGACAGGTCCATTTTTTGCAAGATACTTCTCTTTCTCATCATGCGATTTTTCAGTTTCCATAAAATTCCGAGGGTGATTTTTTTAAAGAAATCAATACACCAAACTAATTTTAAAAAACTCTGACTTTTACACATTAATTATTTTTTTCGAAGGGCCTTGAAGCGCCACCACTGCAGGCCCGGATTAAGTGTTTCGTAAGCCCTAGGCACCAATGTTCCGAAGAATAGAGAAGGAAGAGGGAATAAGAACAAAGTGGAGAATGTAAATATTAAACACCGTTGCTCAAAACTCCGCGACGCTAAAATCCGGTTCTGAAACCCATGTCAATATATTGTACATTCTGTCATGTCGGCACAAGCTGCCGCGCGAAGTCGTTTCATATACGGGGGTTGACAGCTACAGCTGTGCATTTAAAAAATATAAAAATATAAAAAAAAAATCCACTTTAGGATTTAAAGACCCCCCTGCAGTCTGGGATCAGGGAACAGGCCTGAACAAAGTATGCGCAAAGGTACCGAGCATGTACATGCAGTTTTGCGACAATGAAATAAAAACATTATAGCTGGGATTGAATTTTGTATTCTCGAGCAATTAAACAAAGTAATTTCGAACGATTACAGTACAAGCTCTCAATATAACAAATTAACCATTCTTACAGTTGTCTTCCGATAGAAAAGAAAGAAAATAAAACAAAAAGTTATGTGGCGATGGCCAAGTCTTCAGGAGTCGGACTTATGACCCTAACTCAATGAGCCCCTTACCGACTTCCATATAGAACTCTTCCGGGACTCGGTACCCGGCCCACCACACCTCCTTCCCTGTCCATCCATGTAACTCGAAAGTCAGGCACCATAAAGGGAGGAAACGAGGTGGCACCCTAAGCCTTGCTGCCGAGTCAGCAAAAGAACCCCGTACCTATACGCAGATGCCAACCTGGACTTCGCAGACAGTCCCAACTTGTGAGTCAGCTTACCGACCGACCGAGCTAACTGCTGTTGGTAAATGACGACGGGAAATTAATACTCTTAAATGACAGAACCGCGGGCATCGAAAACCAAAAAATGACACCAAGCGGTTTCGAACCCCTTACCCTGGGTCCGCTGTCAGACAGCTTAACGACTAGGCTGTTTCAGTAGGTGCTTTTCTCTTTGCGTTTAAAACTTAATCCTTATTTCCGCAGTGGGAGAGTTACTTTGTGTTTCATAGCTGCACGAAAGTTGCATCAGCATCGTGTAATACACATGAATGCTGTTACGTAACTCTTTTCTTATCGTACCGAGCAGTTGACTATTCAGAGTCACTACGAGCAATTAACTTTACCAAGCTCGTCCTTATTCTGTCGCGTCAATTATTGTTTCGCGTCGCGCGTCTTTCGGCCGGCACTAACATGTCGCTATGATTGAGAGAAATTCTAGCAAGGTTCCCCTACCTCATTATATTTATATCAAACTACTGACCCGTTTACACATCTTTACGCGGGAAGTTTATTTGTCTGATTCTAATTCAGCTCCCTTAGCTAGCTTGGGAAACTTAATCTTTTCTTGTACTTAGGTTAAGTCTAGGGAATGATGTCATTATAATACAATGTCACATTAACGTCAGCCGGTGGCATGATTAGAATCGTGACCACGCGAGTGCAATGACGGCCAGTGGCGTAAATCTGTGCCGGCGAGTGGTGGTGGGGGGGGGGGGTTGACCAAAATCATAAAATTCGGGCGATTCACAATGCAGTGCTCCACAAAGAGTTTGCCATGGAGAGTCAGTTTTTCAAATTACGGTCGACAAAACAAGGCCCATTTGAATAAGTGTCATTAAACAACTTTAGCTAAGTGGTTAAAAATTCGGGTATAGCGATCTGCCGCCTTACTAAAAACACCATATTGATACAAAGAAAAGAAAAAGGCAAATTTATACTCGAATCATACGCTTACGAAACTACTGACCGGAAAAAAAACTAACAATTTCAAATGTCCAGCGCTGCGAATTTGTCGACCATCTACCACAATGCAATAGGAAAAATGAACTCTCCATGGCAAACTCTTGGTGGCACATGAAACGCCCAAATTGCCCGGCCGTGGACATTCGAAAAGGGGGGGGGGGGGAGGCTGGACACCACATTATACTGGGACGATACTCGCGCTTACATTTTTAAAAGCGTTTGTACTCTGTTTCTCCACTTTACAGTGCTATTGAATACATTTTGCAGGGACGTTCGGAAAATACCTCAAAATCCTCATTTTTTTTCTCATCACAAAAAAGTGGTGGATGATTCAATAGCCCATCCCCGCAGTCACAAAGAGTGGGGGGTATATATACCCCCACCCCACCCCATCCCGGGAATTACGCCCCTGGTGACGGCGCACGGAGCCAACGAGCCTGCCACTCGGATTGGATTCTAGGCGCCCTGTGGTGCGATCCGAGGCAATTTCTGACGACTGCCAAAGTTTTAGCACAAAATCATCATTTAAACATCTTTTTCGAGGTTGGAGTCATTAAATCAGCTGTTCTGAGCTATAGAATCAAATGTAGGCTACGTATTTTTATTCAGGGACGAAAAACGTTGGAGAACGACATCAGTCCCCCCGTTCCCCACCAATCGACGCCCTTGGTTGGCACCGTGCTTCAGAACGACAGACTTCACACGTACATTTTATACGTAGGGCCAATGCATACAATCATGATGTACAGCGTCAGTTGCACACTGCGGTATTTTCATAGGCCCTCACCCAAGTTTTCGTAGGCCGCCAAATTTTTCGAAGACCCCCAAATTTTTCATAGGCCCTAGGCACAGTGCCTATATACTGTGCCTATTGGGTAATCCGGGCCTGGCCACCAGGCCCTATACATGTACACGTTTTACATTGCCACATTGTTGTTTATAAAAAATGAGACAATATAAAAGAAAAAACATGCAGGCTAGTTAAGAGTCTGTTTCAGTAGACCGGCTGGCTAATAAACAAAAAAGTTAAGGTCGAACCCTGGTTAAACCCTTTTTTGATGTGCCGCTCGAGGGCGCCCTTTCGGGGATGACGTCAAAATTATGTTTTTTTTGTGTTTGGCATTCCTCACTTAACACTTCCATAATGTACTTATCAGTAGTAAAATGCTTCCTTTTTCGAATCAGATTCAATTTATATTGCACTTCCGGTAACACCGGAAGTAAAGGTCAAGCGGTTTTGTGCCCGGGAATAAGAAATGTTGCTCAAGGTACCGTCTACAGCCTCACGAAAACACGAACTCGATACCAATAATTTGGTTCAAGAGATATAGCTCAAACTATTTTGTCAAAATGTGCCCTTAAATCGCTTGTAATTTGATACCTGATGACGTCATGATTACGTAACAAAATTTATAACATCTTCGTCTCATGGTACAAGTTCACGCTAGGTTTTATGATCATCCGGTAAACAGTTCGGAAGAAATTTAGCTTTGTTTAGATTTCGGGCTTATGTCTGCATTTTGAATTCACCTAACTTTGACCTTCTGATTGACCCGGAAGTAAAGGTCAAGCGAGTTTACAAAAAAAATGTTAATCAATTCATGGTCTATCTGATTACAAGGTGTGAACATAATTGATCGTTTTGTTGAAGAGTTATAGGTGAAAAAAGTTGGTCATTTTTCTGCTAAAATCGTTTGTAATTTAACATCCGATGACGTCATCAAAACGTCAGGTAATATGCACCACTCGGGACGAGGGTCGATACAAATTGAAAGTTTCAAGTTGATATCATAAACCGTTTAGGAGAAAACCTGCGGAGAATTCTTGTCTGAAAAAAAACCCATTTATCAGAAAAATTCTAAACAGTGGTCGGGTTGTGCCCGACCACTCAATTAAAACAATAAAGATTCACACAAAAGCACTTTTTAGTTTTTACTCGCGGTTTTCTGTTTCTACTTGGATAAAGGGTATTGGATAGGGCAAAATCACCAAAAAAACGTTCGGCAAAATAATATTTACAACGCAACTAGCTTACCGTTAAATGTTGAATTTTAGCTACTGAATCACATGTATACATGTAATTATTCAAAGAATATTATTCAAAGATATTCGAAATCAAAATTTCAGAAATGTATATGCTTTTCATGACGTTACACCAAATTAGCATTAACAAGAAATAAAACTGGACAAAATTGGCAGATCTAAAATTTCTGACAGCTTCTAAAGAAAATCGGGCAACGAATACACTAATCTTAAGCTCTTATTCAGTATTTCGTTTTCCTCACTTATGTAAACGTAATATGTTGTTTTTTGACAATTAAATACCTTTCTTTGATCATGAACGAAAGAAGCGAAAATCTCATTATTGGTGCCATTTTCTGCGGGCAGCTCATTTCCAGGATAAGTCGATATAATTCACAACACTGGGTTTTTGAATTATTCAAAACAAGACTTTGCAAAATCAATTTGCAAGAGGCTGTGTGACTTCGATCAATTCTTAAACCAGAACGATGAGATCCTGAAACGTAACCAAAAAAACATTTCCAACAATTATTAACAGGAAGGTCCATACCGTGGAAAACAAATGCGTCTTTTGAATTGACAAATAAAATGCTATCCTTAAAACCAAACATAGGTAGTCCTCTCACTTTGCGATACGGGCCTACAAAAAAAATGTAGTGTTTATTATAAAAAAAAACGTACATACCTAATGCATGCGACTCAGCTGAAACCAATGCAGAACAAAGGGCCAGTGAGTATAACATAAACAGAATACCAAGAGTATCTGGAAGCAATGAGGAGGGCGCCATTCCCGGCGCGGATCCTGAGTGTGGGGGGGGGGGGGGGGGGGGGGCAACAAAAGTGTTGATGATCGTCGGATTTAAACAGCGCCTCCATTGAAAGTATGGTACGAACCCCCCCCCCCCCCCCCCCACCCCCATATTGATTTTACGGAGGCGAAGTGTCGGGAGGGGAAAAAAAACCTGTGTACATTTCAGCATTGTTTTGGCTGATGAAACCCCCTCCCCTGCAAAAAAATCCAGGATCCGCCCCCTCATTCAACATATTAGGCGCAGAAATGCATTTTGATAAGATACTTCATGCGGATCTGTGCCACGTCGTACACGATGTATCTGGTTGGAGGACAAACGCTCAGGAAAAAGAAAGACAACACAGGACACTGTGAAATGCCTAGACGGGTCTTTCAATTGGACATGTGATTCCAACGTCAGCGAATCTAAAATTTTACCATGAAGATTGTTTCTGAATGTTTGACAACAGAGGTTGTGCTTCTTCTTTGACATGAGACATAATTTGCGACCATTTTTAAAGTCGCATTTGGTCCCTTTCGTAATTTTGAATATAAACAATTCATTATATTACAGGTTTTCCCGGCCAATTTCCTAAAATGTTCATTCACTTCTGAAAATCGGTCATTCGTTTTCGTCTGAACTTGAGAATCGCTCTGAACACGCCTTTCATCTTCGCTACCAGAGCATTCGATTCCATTTCAGTTCAATCAATTTAGTGATTGAGCAGCATCTTTCGTTTATGTCCATTCAGATTCGTTTACAAGACTTCTTTTTCGCTTTTAGAGGGCGATTTCAATCATTCACCATTCTATTTCACTTTTAATCAAATGCCATCGGCATCAGATACAATAAAGGTTTTCCTATTCATTAACCGTCAGTCAAATTAGCTGTAGGCCTACCTGAATTCAATTTAGAAAAGGTATGCTTGCGTAAATGAATGCACAGGTAACGTAATTGGCCGTCTGTTTCTGAAAACCGAATGCACGGACAATGAAAACGATTGAACTTTCGTTGAATTGAAATGGGATTAAAGACGTGATGAATGACCGATTTCAGGAAATTAACATTTCAGGAAATTGGCCGGGAAAACCTATAATTATATCTTGTATGCCCGATAATAAATAAAACAATAAATAAAATGAATAACTGATTGAACTGAAAGGAAATCGAATGCTGTGGTAGCGAAAATGAAACGCGTGTTCAAAGCGATTTTCAAATTCAGACGAAATTGAATGACCGAATTTCAGAAGTGAATGAACATGTTAGGAAATTGGCCGAAAAACTCATATTAAATTCGTTTATTTACTAATCTGCTTCAGTATCACGATTTACGCGACAGTCGTATCTTCTCTTGCACAGTCAACGGAAACACAAATGTATTGTATTGGGAACAACACAATCAAGTGGGTTTTTAATTAGGCATCGAGAGTATGCAGCAAAGGTGGATTTGCGGAAATAAAAAAGCAACTTCCAGTTTATCTCAGACTTGTGTTAGCAGTGCAGTCGCTGTGTGGACCTCATAAAGGTGTCCGCACAATGCAGTTAAAATGTTCTGTATTTTTGTACTGATCCACACAACGTTTTTCACTTTAAGACAAAACATATGGGCATTGTAGCGTTATGGCATCAAGTTGCAAAATAAAGTACAGCATTCTAGAAAATCACGGTCTAAACTCAGTCGACATGGCAACGTTTTGAAAAAAGGGTCTTCTCATAACTTTTCGCGAATAAAAGAATATTTACGAGTTTCAGCATGAGAAATAAGCATGTGTGGTCGGTACAGGAGTAGACGAACACCCACAAAAACATCACATGATCTAATTCGTTCGTACAAAGGATACTCATTGTATTGCAGACTGATGTCCGACACATCGGATGCTACTGGCTGTCCCGTTGGCACAATGATTCCATTTTCAATGACCAACTGACCAGAGGGGTCTGGACAAGTCTTGCCTTGACCTGATGTAAAAGATTTTTGTTGGGGGGGGGGGGGAAGAAAATGTGAAAATAAGCCTCATCTGGATTCCACGCACATATTTACCCCAAACAGGGGCCTAGCAAATGTAGTTGTAGAGGTATGACGATACTCCCCCAGTAATGTTTATAGTTGGCATTTAGAGCCTCATATTTGGCATATCAACCGCTAAATTAATCACTTTGGGAATAATACATTATATAAAAATGTTGTCCAGTGATCCCACATTGAAAACCTGTTAAAATGCAGAGGCATTCCAACATGGAAGAAGAGAGAATCGGGAAAATATGTTATTTTGAGCTTTTAGGGGAAACTAAAAGGACCAGTTGCCACTATCCTTAAACACTTTTGCAATTAACTACCCCCTCCAGAAATATGTGAATCATGCATGATCATCATCAACGTTTTGATAAGGCCTGCATTAAATGACATTGTGCTTTATGCAAAAAGTCTCAGAGGAGCTTCACAGTTATTACCCCTGTTCATCAGGCCATGAGACCAGTTTCTCTGCAGCTTTTTGAGATTAGCGCATTCTGGCCTTTGCCCTCACAGGTACCCATACTCGGTTATTGCGGGAAAGTGTCTTGCACAAGACCCCAAGACCCATACGTTCCTCGTCGTCACTCTGAACCCAAGTTTGGTTGGTTATTATCCCTTTTTAATTTGAGGCACCCTCAATCAAGAAATCGGACAGGATTACCCTTGGTACTGTGCTTGTCAGCCGGCAGCTGTGTGATGTAAGATGACTCTTTCAGCTCGTGCATGTTTCCAACAGCGACCTCACATAGCAGCATCAGGCCAGTCGAGTTGACGCCAGTGGTACAATAGTTGGCGCTCTTCGACACCATATCGGCAAAGTACACGCCCTTTCCAAACATGTAGCCAGTCTGATGGTCAAATATCAGAAGAGTAAGGATTAGTAAAAAGTTTTTTTTAGTAAAAAGTGTTCATACTTGGCACGTGTTATCGGGTCAAAACTAAGTTAATAAGCTTAATTTTACAGTCAAAACGAACTTACCCCATATCAGGTTTTCCGTCATGCATAAATGACCATATTTTACAAGTTTCATGAATTCCAACCAATTGGCACACTGTTTTAGACCCCATATTCTGTGGGAGCCTACAAGGCAGAGGACTGAGAGACCGAGTAAAACTTTTCTGGTGAAATTTACTGCCACCGACCGAAACTAGGCCGACAAGATGTCTTAGAATGAAATCCACACAATTGAATAAATCAAGTTTTCACCCGGATTTCCACAGGATTGATTTTTTCCCCAGAGTATCTAATCAAAATTTAGACTGATTTTCACTCTAAATCGTCTATTCCCTAAAGTTTAACGCAGAGGAAATTGAATACACCACGAAACCATGTGTCGCCAGTCCAAGCGCAAGCAGAAGCCCCCATCCCATCCACCGCACCACCACCACTATACAGGACAGGCAACTGCAATCTCGAGTCCCTGTGCTCCGTTGATGACACCTTGGCAACCGGTGTCCATGCATTTGCACTCGAGCTACACATCTACAGTGAGTTCTGTGATGCGTGGGAGAAGCGGGCATCCGACCCTCAGCCATTCGTTGATGTCTCTATTCGGGCCATCCCATCTGACACCTGTGCTCTTGGCTTCGCCACGTCCCGCCTCAGCTCCACCCCTCCAGTTTCCGATATGGCCGACACTGGATGCCAGTCATGCGTCGCTGGGACAAAACTTCAGCCAAGTTGGGTCTGGAGAGGCACCACTTAATCCCAGTCACCATGAAAATGACTGCTGCCAAAAACCACGGCATCAGCATCGCAGGCGCATTTGTCCTACGGGTCTCTGGGACCTCCACCTAAGGAGATGCACGTGAGACTCTTCAGTTAGTTTACCTCACTGACTCCTCTGACAGACTATTTTTTATCGACGCAGGCTTGCGTCACCCATTGGCACACCCGTTACTTTGTGCCACAAGATGATGATTTGCGCAAAGGAGTCAGGCAAGCCCAGAAGGACAGTCGACCTCCAGCCACTCAATCGTCTTGCCTTTCGCGAGGCTCACAACACCCAGTCACCCTTCAACCAAGCACGCGTGGTCCCGCCCCACACGCGCGAGACCATTTTTGACGCAGGAACGACTATCACAGCATCGCTCTAGATGAAGAGGACCGCCATCTCACAACATCCACCACTCAATGGGGTCGCTATCGATAACGCGTCGCCCCGCAAGGGTACATTGCCTCAGGGGACGGTACAGCCGCCGCTTTGATGAGATCGTTGCCGACATCCCACACAAGACCACAAGGGTGGATAATACACTGATGTGGCCTGACACTATTGAGGAATCATTCCTCAAGGCTATCGAATGGCTCGACATCTGTGGCCGCAATGGTAACACCCTAAACCCCTCCAAGTTCTCGTTCGCCAAGACTTCCGTCGAGTTTGCTGGCTTCGAGATTACCCCGACCTTTGTACGCCCCTGCCCTCGCTACCTCGATGCCATCCAGAACTTTCCCACGCCATGCAACATCACTGATGTTCGAAGCTGGTTCGGCCTAGTTAACCAGGTCTCCTACGCCTTTGCCGCGGCAAAACGGATGCTGCCCTATCGCGAACTCCTCAACCCCGTAACCCGTTTCTCATGGACGGACCAACTGAACCGCCTTTTCGAGGAGTCAAAATCCCTGATCATTGGTGAGATCTACAAGGGGTGGAGATTTTTGACAAGACAAAGCTGACCTGCCTCGCCACTGACTGGAGCAAAAAAGGGCATTGGGTTCTGGCTACTCCAGAAGCACTGCAGCTGCCCCTCCTCCAAGCCCTTTTGCTGCAAGACTGGCTGGAAGATCACACTCATCGGGAGTTGCTTCACTTCAGGGGCAGAGTCCCGCTATGCCCCAGTGGAGGGGGAGGCACTGGCAGTTGTTGATGAACTGGACAAGGCAAGCCACTTTGTCCTCGGCTGCTCTGACCTCATTGTTGCCGTGGATCACAAGCCCCTCCTAATGGTGTTCGGCGACCGGTCCCTCAACGGCCAGATCACCCAGTCTGGGCTGCCACATGACTTCCTTGCCGCGCTCCGTACCCACAGCCAGAACACCACTCAGATCAACACCCCGGCATCCTTGCAGCCCACGGAAGTGATCACGTCAATTACATGGGATGATGTACTCCTCGCCACCGCCAGCGACCCCTCAATTTATAGATTGCTCTAGGTCATCGTGGATGGCTTCCCTGAGCTCAGAGGCGATCTCCCCCTTCACTCCGCCAGCATCACCACTTTCGTGATGGCTAGCTAACCACTTTCGATGGGGTAGTCCTCTACAATGATCGCATAGTCATCCCACCATCCCTTCGCAACCGGGTGCTTCAGGCCTTAATTGCACTCAGCCCAACAGGGCGTCTCACAGATGTGCTCATGGGCAGAGTCCTCATTGTTTTTTCTGGCCAGGCATGACACCAGCTATCACAGAGATGCGAGCGAGTTGTTCATCCTGCAACCGCATGGCACCTTCACAGCCAGGTGCACCACCTACCTCTCCCATTTAACCGGCCTACCCATTCCAATGCGTTGCGGCTGACTACTTCCACAACCGAGGCCAGAACTACTTCGTGGCTGTAGACCGATACAGTAACTGGCTAATCGTGGAGAAAGCTGCCAACGGCTCTGCCGGACTCATTGCGGCCTTGCGCCTCATCTTCGTCACGTACGGCATCAGCGATGAGTTAACATCAGATGGTGGCCCAAAGTTCAAGTCCAGACAGATGGCAACACTCTTACGCTGTTGGGACGTGCACCACCGCATGTCGTCTTCCCCCACTGATCATTCGGGACTGTGTCCACATCCAAAACCAAACCGCCCCAAACCCCACTGAGTGGGACAAGACTGGCATTGTGGTCGAGGTGCGCCAGTTCGACCAGTATGTTGTACTTTGTGTGAGTGGACGGCTCTGGACGTGTCACACAGCGCAACAGGAAATTCCTGCATAAGTACGTACCTGTCATACCCCGTGCGACATTGGCCATGGCGCCTGGCCAGATGACAGCCTTGATTCCACCAGCCCAGATGGCCAACCTGCATCGCCGCCCTCTACCAAACTTCAGCCGTTCCACACCAATCCTCCAAACACCAAGGAGAACTCACCTGGTGCAGCAACGACACCACCAGCCACCCCGACACCATCTCCAACTACCACCCACCCACCCACAGCCATCCCAGAGCCCAACAGCCACTGGCCCCATTCCCCGACCTCTACGGGCCCTCATGTCGCACAATGCCCCAGGCCTCAAGGGGCAGCCCATCCCCACCATGGAGCCTCAACCTGCAGCCTCCTCACCTCACTCAACCGCCCCTACCACGCGTCGCTCAACTCGACAGATCAAACCACCAACATGGTTGAGCAATGGGGACTTTGTCAAGAAATGACTTCCGTATCAGTCTTTGTCACTCACCTCCAAAGACGTGGGAGGGCATAGAGAACTGTAACTTCGCCATTTACATATTAACGTTACCTGTTGGTATTACTTTGTATCTTTTGTTGCAGACACTGTTGTCATTGCTTGAAAACCAATAAACCACCGTTGGAAAGCAATTAGTGGCATACTTATTTAAATTGCATATACGTAAATATAATAATCATAAGAAAACCAATGTCGCATGTATATATGTTCTGCAACACTTCAAGGGAGGGTAAGGATTGATAGGAACGAGTGGGTTTTTTGAGAAACTGAAGTGCCAGATTCAAAACAGACCGTAACGTTCTAACGCTGAATCAATGGATAATGACATAATTTGAAGTTTGTCAAGCGAGGGAATCAAAAACATGAGGTGGGAGCCGGAACCTGAAGCCAGAGGCTAAGTTGCAGTTGCATAAACCCCTAAAGAAACGTTTGAATAATACGGTATATAAACAAACCTTTGGGGCTTCTGGTGGTGCAATGCGGAGGCCCTGAGACAGGATGCCACAGAAGTTGGATAGTCTGGAGCCGTGCCACAGCAGCATTCGGTTGTGCATGCTCGCGAACGGTTGAAAGCGCAAGAATTCGCCCTCACGATCCAATCGAAAAACCTCGCACGAAAGGGAAAGTAAATCATTATGTGCATGGACACATTATCAAAGCAAACTACTACACACATCGGCGGAAGGGTTAATCAAGTGTCTACCCAGAATTCCTCAATGAAGTTATCAGCTTGTAATCAGTGCTAATAGTATAATTACATGAACATAATCTTCAGTAGTTGCTCAGCCACTGAAATTTGAATTTGGAGAACACCTTTAAAGCTTCAATTTTCTGTAGAACACCTAAAAATCTGCTATGTCTTACTTAACAATTGCCATAAGTATTTATACTGCCTTGTCCAATTCTGAAATTTAGTGGAGTGATAAAGAAAATGAGTAGTTTTTATTTAATGTGCCTACTTTGTTCCAAGCTCCGTACAAGTCAAGCGCGTTTGAGTGATCACATATCTTACCTCTTCCACTTTGAGTTGGTAGGAGTCGTGTGTGGCACCGTGGGTATTCTTCGTGTATGTCTCAATCATCTTGAACTCATCACTGTGTTTCGGGACTACCTACATAAGCGAAGGAATAACGATATAAAATGCTCAGGAGTCATGTACATAACAGCGCACCACCAAGCGTTTGCTTATCACCCGTCCACCGTGTCCATAATGGTGCCGCTCAAACACAAACGAATTTAACTTGAAGCATCGCTTATAAAACTCGTTGTGCTTTACAGAAAAAAATAATTTGAATCATACACAGTGAACATGGCAAAGATGCGCCTGTTTAATTCCTCACTGCTCCTCAAATATTTGCTCGTACCCCCGCCCTGCAAACAGGGCGCTTGGACGGGCTGATTAGCTTCACATAATCTTGTGCATGAAGTGGGGATGGCATTCTGAGTAATTTATTATGACCCATGAAAACACATAAAAATGCACGCATTCCATAACGGATGTGATTTCTTTTTCATTGCGGACTGTGTGGAAAATTTTTGAGTGTCGCATGACCCAGCTTCGTGAATGCGAAACGGAACCTGAACCGGTGACGGGAATTGAAAATGTACAAAACAGATAAGTTTTACAGATTTTTCTAGATTATTACGCTTTTCAAAGAAAAACAACTTGTATGAATAGGAATAAATGAGTGGTGGCTCAGTCTTAACAGCCGTTTAAAATTTCGCAGGGTCGTGGCCATGATGAATTGCCAGTCACAGGTCACGCAAAATCTATCGAATGAGAGCGTAAATTCATCAGCCCTTCCCAGCGTCCTGTTTGCTGGGCAGGGGGTACGAGCGAAAAACAAATACGGCTTGGTGCTAATTAACTCTTGGGGCGCACTTAAGGGTCACTATATGGACAGAAGCTTCAACCTACATCTTGTCATTCGCTTCAGCCGAATTTCGAAAAGCCCCTATTCTTTCTATTGATTCCATTTTCGTCATATTAACAGGACGACCTCCAATACAACTATACCTTCCACCTCGAGTTAACATTGCACTCATTTCTTGGATTTAGAACGTACCGTCAATGACGTGTAAAAATAAAACAAATGTCAACATATAATGTTGCACTTCAGCCTTCAAAAATAAGACAGCTGACCTTGCAGCCCAGGTTTCACAGAAGCTGCATGCGATCTTCTTTACAGATATCTTTTACATAGGATGAAATGAAGGGTACGTGTATACACATTCGGATTCCACTTGAGATGAGCGTCTGGCTTTCAGGCAGCCGTGAATCACACCAGAACTGTAGTTGAGTCCATCGCAAGTCCCTTCACAGGTCAGTTACAAGTCAGTCTACTAGTCCAATCGCAAGTAACAAAGAATTTGAGTAGCTTATGATTGCCTTGGGACTACATGACTTGCGATTAACGTGTGATCTACTCGTGACCGATTTATGACAATTGGACCACATCCCTTTGTGTACCTCCATGGCGCATCTGAGTTTCGCGTAGTGGACATCCACGGGATTTGTCCTCGGAGAGTACTCGCCAGTAGATACCAAGAGGTTGTATGCCGCCTCTATCTCCAGGAGATTATCCAACATTTTTGTCTTTTCCTTTAAATAAAATATATACGATATTAAGTAAGGGTGAGTCTCGACCAACATTTTAATACAGTCACCTAATGTCATCATTATGCAATCACATCTTTTTCGGACTCAAACGACACGAATGAAATTCGACAAAGACATTCGTGCGTTATTTATTGTTGTATCACATTTTTGTGATTAATTTGTGATTGAATCGGTCACAAAGTCTGGTCTGAACACGTATAATGCTTGAAACTTCTGTAATGACAACCACTAAGAGCAACCGTGGAATATCAGCTGCCCATGGCCAATTTTTGCAGGTGTGTCTACTTTGGCATTCTGATTCAGAAACAGCTTTCCAGTTACAAAGATACTCTGGATACAAGGATTGTTCACCTTAGGTTTCTAAATCTTATACTCGGTGATGTCGTCAAGACTTTTCAAGAGACAATTAGTTAAATAACAATATCTTTATTATCTTACATTAAAGAATATTTTCACTCTTTGGTACAAAAATAAAATGTTTTTAGAGCCATAAATCTTGTCGAGATCTCATCGATACCTTCTGAAGACCTTTCAGAGATCCGCTTATTCGATGCGTTTACATTCAAACGAACCCACTGATTCGTACATTGAAAGACCAAGCATTTCATGTGCAGCACTCATTCACGTTGACTGAAATTAAATAATAATATCATCATGCGTATTTACAAGGCGCACGTATCCACCAGAACTGGTGCTCAAGGCGCTATATCATTAATGGGATATTCCATTACAGTGAACACGTGGGTCAGATCTCTGAAAAAGGGCTCGCCCACATGTGTAAAAGGTTTGCGGTAATACCCATTGAGATTGTGAAGTGAACGGGCCCTAACGAAGACTAAAGTGCCAATGAACACAATCCACCTGTATAACTTCCAGGGTGTCCAGGAGGGGGATGGACTTGAAGCCGAGGTTATGGGGGATGAAAGTGTAGAATCTGTTGGTTGCATCCAGTATGGCGCTCCGACTAGCATCACCAGTCTCGATCAACTACAAAGATTAAAGGCATAAGAATGAAGCATGAAGTAGATCATGAAATGGTCCATCCAGGATGAGTCCCAAGCGAGGGCTCCACTGGCCGGGGCGCTACTACCCTCTAAATGTAACAAAGTTTAAAAAAATAAAAAATAAAAAAACACTCGAATTTAACCCGCATGTAGTTCATTAAAAAGAGTGGAAGGTCATTCAACAAGTAGAGTGGTTTTTCACTACATATGGGCCATGGTAAAAAAAAAACGTTACCCAAGAAGATGCAACCTTAAATCTAAAAGAGTGGAAACCCAATTGGAAAGATTAGCCCCACTAAACTAAACTTGTTTTTCACTCTTTTAAATTTAGAGAGTAATGAAAATACGATGTTCATTGCCACGTTTTATTGACCTTTTCGTGCGCTTTATTTTGTGAAATTTCCTTATAATTCAAATCAAAAGAAAGACCTTGGGCATCTTTATTTCACCTTTTTTCTGTGCTTTTTTCGTCCTTTTTGAGGGGGGAGGGCTCCAGTCGGGAGGTAAGCTTCCAATGAGGTGTCACTAACATTATACCACAATATAGATCCCACAGCTTATGTGCATCTTGTAAAATTTCAACAAACAAACTAGGGTAGTAGGGAACTAATTAGCCTGGTGGCAAACTGATTAACAGTTATGCATATCAAACCGAGATCAATCTTTCTATAAAGCTGCTCACCGTCTGAAGTTCTGTCAGCACCGAGTACGCGTTCTGTATCTGGGGCTTAGATAGCTTCCCGAGAGGCATTTTGTTCAGGTCGATCTAGCGAGAGACAGAGAAGAAATTCCATTATTTGGTTTTGGTTCTGAAACAATACGATTTCAGGCGGAGATTTTTCTCATGGGGCGACCACTTCTATCTTCTGTCTGCGGAATGTTTCTGTAACTTGATCAATGTGTGCTTTTCCAGGTAACTGTTAAAGTATGGGCCATTTTTGTCGAGTTCCCTGAATGTATTTCATTAATTGTTAACTGTTGAATGGGATGGCGCCTCACTATTTATTGCAGGCATAATGCCCAATGCATAATGGCTTTAAACATTAGGGAATGTTGAATTACAAATGTTAAATTATTCGTTGAAGCAGTTCTCTTCGCAAGTTTCAAAAAATCAAGATTTTACCTAACTTTCAATTCAATATAGCAGACTCATGAATAAGCCCCATACACGCAGGCCCGGATTTGAGGGCCTACGAAATATTCGGGGGCGCGCCAACGAAATATTTGAGGGCCTACGAAAATACTGTTGTGTGCCATAAACCACATACACCCACACATGTTTACGTTACATACCTAGTGTGGACATTCCCTTGGTTTCGTGAAGTTAAGAAAAGCCTCTTAAAAAAACTCATTTATCTTTCACTGTGAAAACACTGTCAATCCAATTGTTTATCTGTATTTCCTTAAGTGTGTCTCTTCATTTTGCCACAGAAAAACCTATCCAAAAAGTCTCTTACCCAAAAATGCCTCTAAAACTGTTTTCCAGAAATGGGGAAACACTGTGTGGACTTGCCCACGTCCACACAACGTCGCCGCTACCTGGTTTATGTGGACCTCTTTTGTTTGGAAGTCCACACAGTAAATGTAATGCCTACCCACACGCACACACAAGTGTGTATTTGCCTGCAATCGAGGACCCCCTATTGTCCCTCTTTTGTTTGTATTTTAGGAAGACCTCCCATATTTTTTGTACACGAATCCAAGTTTGTGACCTCTCGGGAATTGGGGACCCTATTGTCCTCTATTGTTCAACGTCTCGTAATGAATGCAGTGAAAAATTCATGTTTGTTTCTGGTATAAATCGAGGATTTTCTTTTATGGTGTACATCGAGAATTTTCTATTGTTCTTCTTCTCACTTTCCTTTGCTTGTACTCTTTACTTTTTTGCTCACATTGGTTTTGTACACATTTTGCAACCGTGGAGTCCTCGATTTGGTTTCTGTCCTCGATTCATTGATGAGGTTGCACGTGTGTGTGCTCGATTTTTACACAATACACACGCACAAGTGTATAATCCTCTGCAATCGAGGACCCCTATTATCCCTCTTTCGTTACCCTAATTTTTAAGGAAGACCTTTAATGTGTTCTGTACATGATCGTCAATTGCTGACCTCCGGGAATTGTGGACCCTATTGTCCTCTAATGTTCAACGTCCCCTATTGAATACATGAGCATACTCACACACAAACTTCCCGTCTCACAAAATTTCCGATTTCAGCAACTGACGCTGATGTTGCTGCATGTACATGTATATTAGTATACAGGGTGAGTAAAAAAAACGAAACCCAAATGTTGGGACCATTGTTTTAGTGAAGTTCCGTATGTAGCACTTTTAAAATCTAGGATATGAAAGCTCAATTCGTAAGCTTTCTTTAAGTACAAGAATCATTCAAATCACTTATGTACTTTGAAGTTACAGAATTTTAAACACAACCACCGTTTTAAGGTTCTGTCCACGGATCACAAAAAAGTTCAGTGTTCTTTCATCAAAACGAAAACAAATCACATAGGAATGTGTGTGAATTGTTTTCGTTTTGCTATAAGAACGCACACCATATTTTGTGATCCGTGGACAGCACTTTAAAACGGTGATTGTGTTTAAAATGCTGTAGCTTAAAAAGTACATGAGTGATTTGAATAATTCTTGTACTAAAAAAAGCTTATAAATTGGGCTTGTATGTCTTAGATTTTGGAAGTGCTACATGCAGTACTTCAATCAAACGATATTTCCGACATTTGGGTTTCGTTTTTACTCACCTTGTTCAAGTTATTTTGTCGGTCTATAGCACGATGCCCATGGCTTTTAGATCTACCAGTGTGGCCTGGATAGCTTAGTAACAGCATCAATGTGAAATTGGTGCCGGTGCCTATGGCAGAGTATGCCTACGGAACACTAGTGCCTAGGGCCTACACGCAACACTTTATCTGCCAGACCCAGTAAACGTGGCCCTAAAAATGGTATACCTGCAGTATGGCAAATGCCGGCTAAATTCCTTCTCTTCACAGCATTGAACTTCATTTTCACACTTGACTGTTGGTAGATACTCTAATGAACAGTGTTGTATACTTATTTGTGTGGGGAATTAGCGAAAACCATTGATGCGCTCCATACTAATGTTGTTATTATATGCGCTCCATACTTCTTCAGCCCCACGAAATGTATACATTTGCCACAAATGTATACATTCGGGACGCGCACGCAAAAAACAGCTACACGTTAGTCAGGTCGACTAACAACTGCAGGCCGTGATGTAGGCCATTTCTCATTGTCGGGCTACATGCACGTTTTCAAGCCTTTCGAGGAGCCTAGATCACTGGTTTTCAACTGAGCTGTAATCAACTGAGCTGTAATCCAATCAAGAAATTCAACTGAGCTGTGATTCAACTTAGCTGTAATCCAATCAAGAAATATCCTTTTTTGAACCTGATACTGGGGTATGTATCTGTACTACATTATTTTAGAAATGTAATTCTTAAAATGGAAACTTTAATTAATACAAAATTATGTAATGTGCCCTAGCTCGTTAAGTTGTTTACGAATTGTAATATCACGGTTCTTATTTTACTGCATCGTTACTGAGACTTAAACACCTTTTGTGAGGGCACTACACAATAAATAAAGAAAGAAGAGATTTTGGAGTGTAAGCGTTGTCATCCGTGTTTTAATTAACCGGCGAGGCCTGCCGACGAGGCGACCATATGATGTGTGGCTTCACCGCTACATTTGTATATATACTTCTCTCGCTTTATAAATGCGATTGCTCTTACCTCAAATTCAGCCATGGCAATTTTGAACAAATTTATGTCACAGATGAGTTTCATCAAGTGTTGAATTTCAGAAGGCAGCCGGGATCCTCGAAAGGCTTCGATGTCTTCCTCTCTGGGAACGACCTGGAAAAAATATTTCACGTTGAATTGTGTTGCAAAATTGGGCAATTCACCCAAACGCCCGGTACACAAATTATTACACGCACACTCAAAATAATTTGTATCCTATTGGAGACATTCCTTTGTTCTCGTGTACTAAAGTTTTTCGAGTTTGAAAGTGTAATTTAAAAATGCTCTTATTTTAACCAGAATGAATTTCCTTGGCTGAAATTTGGACTTAACATTCCTTTTCTAAAACTCTTCTATTTGCGACGGATCAACATAGCTTGGAAAATTCCTAGTTTTTGAGTAAATCCATATATCTATTTCGTAAAAACCTTGTGGAAACAATCTTTTGTTTCCTATTGTACACACGTCTCCACACCCATACAGGTTTGAGAGCACTGGACTGTGTGTGGTCATAGAATAAGCCTTCGTAAAGATGTGTCTTTCGTATATAATTATGGAGGCATGGATATATTCTTATGAAGCACATTCAAAGGAGTTTAACAAGGATATTTTATATGTGGACTTCACTAGTTGCAAATCCCCTCCCCCACACCTGTAGTAAATATATCAACAATAAGGATAAAACATTAATTCAGAAGAATAAAGAACATACAGCTTCTCTGTAATCTATGTCGACGGGGAAGAACTTGCCCGGGACTTTCTCAAACTTCTCGCTGCCAAACTGGTTGCCGGTTTTCTGAAAGTACGTCTCCTTAAACTTCTTCTGTGCGTGCGATTTGGCTTCTCCAAATTCCCACAGTCGGTTCCCGCCACTCTCTGTACCGACCCGCCCCCAGGCCCGGAACAACCAGTACGTGCTGACAAAGAGTGATGAGAAGTGAAGGTAAAGGGTAACATAAAATGCTCCGATATCAATGCATCAACTGATCAATTTTTGCGGAAATGTGAATGAAAACAGCGAATCCACATTTTAGGCCCCATTTCATTCATATTCATACACAGAATGGCACCTAATCAAGAAAAACGAACTTCCTATGTGAATAATTTTGTATTGGCCTATACAATTCATGCTTAAGCATCTGCTACAGTGGGATTTGTTATCACTCTCCAATCTTACCCAGCTATCGTTTCCAATAATATAAACTACACAAGTAGTCACTGCATGTATTTATGAAGCTACTACATATTCTAGCTACGACCTGTGGCGGGGGCATTTCCCCCCCCCCCCTCAACATTTTTACAACAAATATATTATTATTATTGTATTTTCTTCGCTGCTAAGATTCGTCAAATGTGGACACATTTTGGACCAATTCAAGCATTATAAACACTGGTACTTAAAGCCCAAACATGCCACACATAATTATAGTATGCAGCCAACGTCTTTGTACATTTGTTATACACCATTCTGCGGTTTGACACATTTCTCATTCATAAAAACGACTACACTGCTAAGTTGCTCTAGCTGCATATTTCCGGACCCCTGATGATGGGCATGCGCGCGCGTACACGGGCTGACGATTATATTTTGACTGCCCCCCAGAAACATATAGTTCCTTACCCCTCAATTCCCCCCCCCCCCCCAACTTTTCCCAATACAGAGTTTGGCACCGCCAAGGGCTTCGACTCTATTTTCCTGCTGATGCCGGTCAAGTGCCAGAAACTCCTAATCTAAACCACATTTGGCATTCCAACACAGCGCCCTCAGTGAGCAATGCACAGATCCAATAAGTATGACTGGGTGCATTATAAAGGTGTAACCTTGTTTTAAAATTCCCATAGACACTAGTGCTAAATGCCCATACTTCAAAATTCTTTTTAAAATACTCAGAACTCTCACAGGTATTTAAGATGTACAGAAAAATGATGATCAACATGTCATCTTTCGTTTGCTTTTCATTTTTTGGTAGGTTGACCATTGACTTTTCGAAAAATTTTCGCCCAAAGAAGACGACCCCTATTTTCCCCAAAGCGGAACAGTAGCCATCTTGAAAAACGATCCCTAGACAACATCGCAAAATAGCGCCACTTTCGAGTCAAATTGCATCCAAATTTGAAGCCCTAAGTCCAGCCAGAGGTTCATCGTCATATTCTTCAATTCCCCAATTTTATGGCTCTCAGAACTCTCTAATATAGAATATTTTGAGGGTATAACTTTTGTTCATGCGCTCGGTGGATGGACTTAGGCCTATCTACAGGTATTTACCCAAAATAACTCTCTAGTAGTTGAATCTTGTAGTAGGTGTTCGATCCCGTTATCGCATCGGCCACGCCTAAGGTAGCATTGAACAACTGGCCGTCTTCATTTAGAATGTGGGTTTCGTTTGCCAGTCCTGTAGAGCATAAAAAAAAAGCTAGGTGATAATTTGTATTCATAGATACCTAATACAGTTTACCCATTCCTCTTGGTCGAGTGCCCGTTACGTGGCCGGTCTTAAAAGGATGAAAAAGACACGGCTGGCTGGACTTCAAACACTTTACCAGGGTCACATGAAATTTGGACTCCCATGAAATCCAGTGCCTTTTACCGTTTCACATTCCTCACATAGGCATGCGCAATATTACCAGTGAATCGTATCTCAAAGCCCGAAATTCACACTACAACAGCCCAGCTTCGTTCTGCGCCACATCGCGCAGTTCGCGCGACGCGCGCGCCAATCTCCTTATACGGTAAGGAGTTGTAGGAAATGATTTTTTCTTGATCGAAAAGGTATTTATGAAGGGGAATCAATGTGTCCTTGGTCGGTATTAAACACTTTGTTTAAGACCGGTTAGAGTCAGGAGTGCTGATGATCCCATTGAGCTTCCAACCGGTCTGAAACAGAATTTTTAATTCCCATAGTATAGTACGTCAAAGTTGCACCTTCGTCCGGAGGTCACCAACAATAGTCTTTCATTGTATTTCATAACTGTGACCAGTCAAAGTCACGGTGACTAAAAAAAACCCCAAGTTTAGACAAAACGTCAACGTAAAAATTATACTACATCATTAATACATGTGGGCCTCGTTAATGTCTAATCAGGGCTTACGCTATTTTCAAACTTACACCCTATCCAAGCTTTTGGTGGAGAAAAAAGAACACGTTATATTACTGGAATGGCAACGGCTAGATTTATGAGGACCAAAATGTTGTACCCTATCATTTCCTTTGCGTGGTAATTAAAAAAGGGGAAACTTGCAAGGTTAAGTTGCATGAGCCTTCACATTTACTGTTTAACGATATTTCCAAATATCATTTTGTGGTAAACTTGATTTCATATATACCAAACAAGCCACACAAAATAATTGATGTGTTGAGAGGAACATTTGAACCAACTGACGAATGTAATATCCGCCCCCCCAAAAAAAAAGAAGAAGAAGCTAGGGATGTATTATTACAATCAAAGAAAACCATGTAATATAGGCTTAAAAGTTTGATTACAGAGTTCACTTCCATTTTTTTTTTACTTCCAAATGTGACGTTCGGGAAATTTACAATTACGTTTCCTCGGATGATTTTCTTGGCTTCCATTTAGGCTAAACGCTGGAAGTAATCATTTCAGGAAATTGTCAATATATTATGTTATTTTTTTGGGCGCAAATTGAGAAATTGGGCCAGCGCTTTGCAGCAATACAAACTGAACTAAGTGCCCTGAAGTATACTCAATAACATGCCGAATTCACAATCATGCCAAGCTAGTCGTTTGAAGTTTAGTTACTATCTTTTCACTGAATCAATTTTGAATTATTTTGTAAGGCATTATATTGAACTAACCAGTGTGGGGATCAACAGCCGCTGCGGCACCTCCCTTCCACTGCTTATTTCCCACGCCTCCTGCAACATCCTTGACGTTGGAATACTTTCTCTTCTTATAATAACCTATTTGTAAATTTAATAGAAACAATTAGTTCATTCATGTATTTAAAGCAAGATAGATTGTACCATATTTTCTCTGTGCACTTCTTTTTTTCTTTTGAAACAACATAGATGTTAGGTAGGCTGAAAAACAATTAAAGTTTCATCTGAAGTGGCTAAAAATATACATTTTTAGATAACAGGGAAAACGTAATGCACAGTGATTTTAGAATTTCGCAAGCTCTTTCACGTGAGATGGGACCACTTTTTTGAGATCCTTATTTTCTTTGGATCCAAACTATTTTTGATGGAATAACTTACTTTACAGGACCAAAATGTTGTGCTATGAAGTTCCTTCTTGCGATAAATACACGGAAATGGCGAATTTTCTGGGTACAGTTGTGTGAACGATCGTGATCTAATTTTTTAACAGTCGCTCAAAATGTAGGTTTTCCCGGCTATTTTAAAAAGTTTGTCATTCGAATTCACCGATTCTAATATCTAAATATGTTAATCAACATCGCTTAAGTGCACTTCCAATGTTTAATTTGGTATTTTTTGGGTAATTTTGTCAGACATTTAAGTTCAGTTCAAGCAAATTCAAACAATGAGCACGCGTTTTCGTCCCGGAGTATTCGATTTCGTCTCATCTACGCCAAACCTTGCTGTCCAGAAATCAAATTCGTCTCATTGATTTATATTACTAGACAACTCGATATTTGAATGCTGCCATTCTGCAACAGCTTAGACGAATTTAATCTGTACCAACGAATATTCTCGACTCGGTGACAAAAGAAGGCGACAAAACTTTAAAATTAATTGATAAATAACCAAATTAGTTTTGATGACAGCATGTGACTTTTTCATAAACAAAATTGAATGTTAGAGTTGGTGAATTTGGATGCAACATGTTTGAAATAGCCGGGCAATATATCATTTTGTGGTAGGCGCATATTCGAGCCCAAAAGGGCGCATTCGTCTCAAAAGTGCTCCTTTCATGCCATAAAGTTGAGAGGGCAGTGTGAACAAAAGCAGGGGGCCATTGGCATTGTGTGAACTCTACTAAAGTGACGATATAGTATAATAACAAAGCAAATACCTTTCTGATAGCCCCAACTTCTCTTGTACCCAGACCGTGAGCTTTTCCCGGTGGATAATGTCTTATGTCGATCAAAAGGGTCAATGTTACTGATTCTTTTTTGGACCTGTAAACACAGTGAAATATTATCGACAGAAAGTGAATGAGAAACGCATCATTACAAGCAGTCGTTACAGTCATGTGGTTGCGAAGGGCGATTATCTAAACGTTACGCAACACTTTATTTTGAATAAAACTACATGTACACAGACATGTTCACACAGGCGGCCGAAATCTTTGAAAATTAATTTCGCCCATTAGGCAGACCGTATCTTCATGCGACTTTCAGGGTTTATTTCCCTTGTAATGATCCAAAATTGTGCCAAAAATTGTTGTGATATGTTCAGTACTTTTCGTTGAAATTGGGGGGAAAAAGGTCTGGCTACTTGCACTTTTGAAAGTTGTAACACAGGCGTTCGCAATATCTGTCAATCCTTTCAAGACTCACGAATAAGGTTCCTATCCATTATGGTGTGCAGTAGAAATTTGCAAAAAGCCTCCTCCACGCGTTATTAATTTATAAATATCACCCTTGCCGGCTTCCATGTACCGGGACCCACGCCAAGTCACACCAAGTGACGCTAATGAATATGCTAATACGCGATCGTCCATTGTGTTGCCGGGCCAAAATCGGTCAACCGTAGCGCTTATGCTATAGGAAAACCATACACGTGGGTTTGGTGGCAAAAAATCCTCGTCGAAATATTCCTTGGAGATGATGGTTCCCTGTGTAGCACTAGCGTTCGCAACAACAGATTAAGCTGAAATTCGGAATAAACTTATGTGATATAAGTGATCAACTACTCATGAAATAACAACTTCAGTAGATTCCTAGACATTTAGACAAATGCATAGATTTACGGAAGTTTTTGAACGATTTCTCCAGACTTGAAGGTTTACTTTACCAGTAACCAATATCGAGGTTTCGGCATCGATGACGGCGATGGTTTCACTGACATGAGGTTTAAAATTCCTTCTTCCCTTATAATTAAGAGCATATTTTCTGAGAGACACAACGTTTAAAAGGCCAAGATATTTGGGGTTCACGAATTTCACTGCTCTGTTTAAGCGTCTAAGTACGTCATCAGATTAGCTTTGCATGACAACCGGTCACGCTTCGCCTTCGCAACCATATGGCTGGTTAAAGGCACAAACACTTGCAATTCCTCGGAAGCAAACCTACCGATTTTTCAAGAAACTCCTTGCTTAGAGTGAAGATAGGAATGGTATCAAATACACTGCGAAATTATTCCGCCTAAAATGGTGTCATTTTTGTGTCGGAAAGCAACCATTGGTGTAAGAAATTGTGCCCGCATGCACATTATTTTTTTTAACGTGTGTAAACGGAATTTTTTTAAGAGACCCCAAAAAATGTGCATGAGTTTCTGTTTCTTGTAAAGAGACACTGCATCCAAGTTTCATCAAAATCCCTGAAAGATGCAGAAGTGTTTTTTTTTTCTCAAAAACTCAACCTAAACCTTAACTTCCTTGCAGGTCTACGGGTCTCTAGATAAGTTGATTGTCTCTTTTTCCAAAGATTTTACTTGTGGGGTACCTGTTTTCTGAAGATTTCACTTGTGGGGTACCGTTTCCTTTGTACGAGTACCCCACAAGTACCTCTGGTGTGTCATTCAGAATTTAAGACTGGTCAGTGTCTTTTATTACCAAATAAGTTGCCTTTTATTCCTTGAATTATATTTACGGCTGGAAAAAAAAACGTATTGCGAATGCCACAATAATTATGTCTATGGTTTATGTAAACTATGGCTTTTCAGCTTTTCTTAGGAACAGTAGGACATAACGACAATTTCTTTTCTATTTGACCTTTAAAATCGGATAAATAAACATCGTACAGCTTTAAAAGCTCGGCGATTTATTTTGGTGATGGTGCTTTCTCTTTATACAGTGCTGACCGCTGTGACCCGGGTTCGAATCCCGCCCGGGACAATATACGGATTGGGTTTTCAGTCCCTACCTGACTCCATGGGTTTTCCTCAGAATCTCCCTCTGGGCTTTGCTTCCCACCTCAAAAACTGTCATTTCTTCTCAATGGCTTCTCTCTACAGGTTTCTTCAGGCTTTCGAGCTACAGTGCTTAGGGTACTTTTGAGGAATCCTTAGCTTCATTACCAGACATAGATTAACAAATACAATAAATTTACTAACGAGCCATCGTCTATCAAATGAATTAGACTTACGTTATTACCCCACGGTACGATATTATATTCAGGTACCAGTTTTATGAAGTCACCACCTTTCTCTAGCTCCGTCAGGAAGTCCTGTGAAACGACATGAACTCCCAGCCCCATGGCCTGCATGATTTTTGGGGTTTTCCAATCCACCTCCGCTGAAACCAAATGAACGATAAGTGAAATATCCCAGCTACCAAGTTTTATTCCTTCCCGGGGCCAAGCAGATATAGACTGAGGGTTTAAAGTGCACAATCTCACGATTGACAGTTTATTTCCATTTGTTTCCTATAATGATGTTGGTAACCATGAATTAGGGTCCAATACTTTCCCACTTACTTACAAGAGACTTATTTCAGCAAGAGACCACTCAGTTTGCTTATTTGGCTTTCACAAGATTTCATAACCACGTCCAAAAGACACGCGGAAAGTACAGTGTCAGGCGTTTGTTCGTACATTACTTTAACACTAGGAACCTTTAAATGTGGGATTTCCATCGGATTAGGGTTGAAATGGAATGACATTTTGAGAGCTGTGATATAGTCTGGTTTGCATCAAAGCACTTTCATGGGAGTTAGAGTAGTTGTAGCCAAGACGGTTCCTTTATAATACTAAACAAATTGAAAATCCATGTCTTCATCATGCACAATGTGTCTATTAGGACACGCTGTATAACTCACTTTTGGTGCTGATCACGCAGACAGTATTGACCTTGACTTTAGTGGTGTACGTTCCGCCGAGTCTGGATATGGTTTCTTTGACTTTGCTGATTGGAATGCTCAGTTTGCCGGCTGATGCTACTTCCAGACCGAAAAGAGGTTTTGTGGGGTCTGGACGAGGCCTAGTAGTTGCGTCGGACAGATCAGGACTAAAACATAAGAAATGTGCAACCAGTAAAAACACACCAGAAAACAGAAAAACGAACAAGAGAGATGCATCTACTTCACACTTTTGTTGTATTTTTACGATGGCGTAATTTACTCGCAGGTCAGGTGAAACTACAGCGCCGCAGTCCCAGCTTGAGGCCTGTACCCCTCCCTTAATTATTACCCCCCCCCTTCAGAATTAGGGCAATAATGACTGTCCCTCCAGGTTACGAGGCCCTTAAATGCCCCCTTGCACGGTGGAGGATGATTTTTGGGCGGCTTTTTTGTTATTGCATGTATGTTTTCCTTAAAGGAAAATGGGTATTTCTCAGGTTTCGTTAAAGTTGGCTTAATTCTGGTTTGACATCTGGGCTCTTTATTTACAAAATGATACACAGGCTTAGCCTCCTTCTTGTACAAGGATTTCTTATTGAAGGGGCCCCAATGGAAACCAGTTTTTAACTGTTTGGGCAAACCCTGGGTAAAGAAATGCAATAAATAATTATATAAATAAATTGGAGAAAAAAAACAACAACGAACACCAACATTATTGTGACAAGTGCGTAAGAATCAATTAAAAAGTTCACTATCATCGAATTTTTGACAAAAAGGGCCACTAGCAGTTACATTTACGCTAATGACGGTTTGAAATTAAATGTCGCACTGGGGGCGTTAGTTATGTCTGAATCAATTTAAATGCCAATTTTAATCTCAATGAGACATCACCTTGTTGAAGTGGACGCACTATTCAAATCTTCCTCAGTTACAGTGTCTTTGGAGAAGATGCGTTTGCCACCGTTGTACGGTTTGTATCGGAATTCTGGCCTTGATATCAAGAAAGGGAAGTTTGACAATCGTGTCAGTGACAAATGAAAGTGGAGTAATGTTTGATATCATTGTCTACAACCCGTTTCTCAAAATAATCATTTATCATTAATGGTATCTGCTATAGTATAAACACAGGGCTTCATACAGCGACAGCTGCCAACATTTGCATCTTGCAATCGGGGATATTTTGGACAACAATCAGGGAGGTATTTAGAATTGCATTCAACATAATATGGACAGAGTTTCCATGATCAGAAAAATTTTGAAATTTGTTCATCAGAACATAGAAAGATTGATTCATTTTCAGGGAACTTTCTGCAGAATTAGGGAGAGTTGGAAACCTGTAATAACAGGGTTTAACAAATCAAAAGATTTTAAAGGAATACAGTACCGTCCGGACATGAGATCTATTACACGGTGCCCTCTGGCGACATGTGTACATTAGGGAACAGAACATTGTATACGTCTCCACAAGGCATTTCTATAGGTGAAGACGTCTCCACAACGAATAGATCAATGGATTTCACTCGAAAACTAGGAAATTTCAAGGTGTGTTGATCAGTCACAAATTGAAGTATATCATGTAAGGGATATAAGCAAATTTCACCCCAGGAAATTAATTCTAGTTAAAATAGGAACATTTTAAAAAGTACACTTTCAAAATTGAAAACTTTAGTACATTAGAACAAAGAAACGTTCCACAAGGATACAAATTCCAGTATGTTTGTACCGAAGCGTTACGTGACTAACTGGGAAGTGTTATTGCAAAGGAATGGAGTACATGCAATGTTAGTGCAAATACGCACTTGTTGTATAATTTTATTTTATATCTACGGGCTCACGTCGGAATCACTCGCTGATGTATTTTACACACTAATTAATGTCTTTTACACACATTGTGCGCGTAATACAATCTCTTCGGTACTTTTAATTAGCCCATAACTTTTGTATTGTTTACACATTATTGTTTGCATATTTTCACTCTGCTGACCACCCTCGTTAAATGTTATATCGAAAATACAGTGAGCACAAATTTGCATTGGCAACAAATGGGTTCTGTGAAAGAAAGAACAGCATCACAATTTCAAACAATTTCTAATTGATGACTATAACAAAAATGACCCCAAATTTCAGTTGACCGAAAGTAAACACGGTAGTGAGACTAGTCGGTGTTTGGCAACGATCCAGACAATCAAACGAAAAGTGACAGATCGAGAATTGCAGGCTCAGTATAAAGGCCTACAAAAGATACAGAAAATCGTACCAAAAGTACTCCAAACAGTCAGGCACGAACAGCTTTCTCCTCTTGACATCCTGCGTGAAGACAGTGCATTTTGTCCAGGCAGACATATTCCCTTGGCAACGATAACCCCCCGTGGACAAGACCAGCTGACCTTCATCACATTCTGTGCACGGCTCCGGAGGTCCGAATACTAAGCATTCGGTGACTCGATCCAGTAGCTAATTTCAAACAAAAAGACAAAAATTATTGTAGTTGTGACGCACAAATGGCAGTGAATATCATCTGGGGCTGCAGGACGACCTAGGTAGCATGTTTGTATATGTACGTCCGCAGCCTCCAAATTTATAGACACTGTTTACTTGTAATAGTGATATAAGAAGTGACGAAACCCATATTACGTTGTGTACGGCGCTTAGGCCAAATGTCGCAGGAAAAGTTGGGGTACTTCCTTTGTTCTCGTGTACTAAAATTTTGCAATGTCGCACACAAATTTCAAAATGCTCTTATTTTAACCAGCATTAATTCCCTGGGCTGAAATTCGGACTTAATATCCCTTTTCTAAAACTCTTCCATTTGTGACACATCAACCCACCTTGGAAATTCCTGGTTTTTGAGTAAAATCCATTTATCTATTTCGTGAAAAACATGTGGGGTACCAAAACGGCACCCGCAAGTCGGTGGGCATTCCTTGTGGGATACCTCCCATTGTTCCGGTATCCCATAAGTTGGTGTTTATACGTTCACACACATCCACGTGTGTTCACCGTCGATCGTGGACGTCCTATTATCCCTCTTTTGTTTGTACTCTTTTTTTTGTAGGAAGACTCCCATAGGTTTTGTACACGACCCCAATCGCGGAAGTATGCTGGGAATCGTGGACGATATTGTTCTCTTTTGTTCTCCGGTATTTTTCGTCCACGGTTTGAAAAGTTGAACACGTACACCCACACAAAATAATAAATATACAACTTTGGTTCAATGAGCTATGCTAAACCCGAGGGATAACATACTAGACCAATGATTTTGCTCAACTAGGGGCGGGTTATGGAACTCCCATTCCAAGGGGAACTTCTCAGATACGGGAAAATGCCTTCCCTTTTTTTGGCACAAGCTCATTATTCTATTATTTGATGTATCCCTACCGCGCTTTCAGCAAATGGGACCTCCTGGTTATTGACCCTCAGTATTTCCTGTAGCGATTCGATAATGGTGACTTGTTTCTGCAGGTCGTCCCTAACTTTCCAGATGAAATCACTCTGCGCCTGTAAACAAAATCGTCAATGCGAAACAGGACAAAAGTAGTTCAACATCTTGAAAGCAGACAAAACTCCAACAAAAATAAATAACCACTATACAAGAAGTGTCCCTTTAGATTAACACATAATAAACAAAAGGAGGTTTCACCTGCTTGTTCTTGGAAATGCAATCTGACGTTTACTTTTTGGGAAAAAGACGTCCATATTGTTCAAAAATACGTCTTGTTCCTGTTATATATGTAATATTATATAGAGATGGCCATGGGCGTCGAGAGGGGTGGGGGGGGGGGGGCAAAGGCCCCTAACCCTGAGAAGCCACACACACAAAAGTAAGGAAAGAAAAAGAAGGGGAAATATTGCTGTGAATTTAATGCACATTTAACAACATGGGTGTCCGCAGGGGTGTCAAGGAGGAGGGGTGGGCAACTGTCTTCCTGCCCACCCTCGAAAATCGAAAAAAAAAATTAAATTTAGAATACGGTACAGAAACTACAAGGATTTTGAGAGCTTTGCCCCCTCTAGAAAAAAATACTTGCGACGCCAATGGCAATGGCCCCCAATCACACTTTGGAACGTCCCAATTCGACACTCTCAAAACACTTAAGTAGTTTGACTAGAACACTTCAAACTTGCACCCAGCTGACCCTAGCTGTAATCACCTGAGTGCAAGTTTCGTGTCAACTCCGTCAACGTCTTAGTGAAGCACTCCAAATACAAATGTATAGTTGGGACAATGCTTGGGTCGTAAAATTCCCAAAGGGAACTTTCATTCCGTTCGTCCTTTCAGAAACTTCCTAATTCTTTAGGCTTTAAACTACCAAAGCTGTTCTAACTAGATTTTAGACAAAAGTATTTGTCCTTCAATCAGGGTAAATAGTGATGTACCGTAGCCCACCTTGAGCTTCTCCTTGTACTGCTCGACCAGTTCAGTCGTCTTGGAGTCTGACTCATCTACTGGGGTTTCCGAAGCTTGCCGCTTCACTCTGTCATTCATAAATCAAAACATAAAGTCTGACAAATGTGGAATCTATTAACAGAATAGTTGCTACGCCTCAACTAAACCATCGGTCCCAACTGGAGTTGGAGCGTATAAGTCGGTCCAAGCTAAAGCAGGTCAAGTTGAGGCGTAACGCAGTAAACCCCGCATGTACATGTACATATTCACTCATGTTGGCAGAAACAGGATTGGTGATGTATCCCGCCCGAAAGCCATTTGTTTTCTACAGAGCAAATTTGGCATTCTTCTAACTTGTCGATCGTTAACATACAAATCTAGTGCATGTTCTCGACAAAATAGAACTTTAAGCATATTAAAGCTCTACGTGTTGTAGGAAATGTTTCTGCTCTCGCATATAGTAGCCTGGAAGGCCTTACTTGGAACGAGCTCGTATCCACTGATGAAAAGTCACATTGACTTCCAACAAGTTCACGAATATGTTGCTTTCTCGTGTTGATTTAAAAATCTTTAATCATTTATAATATATAACTAATTCTCTTCGGACTTTTGGGAATATGCACACACACACACAAAAACCTGATCGGAAGCCCAGAGAGCCGAAATAGGAAAAGTATGGTCTGCAAATTAAAAAAAAAACCGTTGATGTCAATTATGTCAGAGAAGTATGAACTGTTTGGGATACTTGTACTTACTTCGGGAACATGCCTTGTATTCGCTCTACTTCCGAAGGTTCAAGCCCATTTATCATTTCCAATCTGTAGGTGTCCTTCCAGTTGACGCTTGCCAAAGTTTCGGGCCGCGCAAAGCAGGGTACATGGTACCATGTCACTGTTGCCTGTCCTTGGTTACCATCTGGCACCGGTTGTCTACGTGCAATCGAAGACTCGCGACTCTAAAATACAAATAAGATTTGAAGAAATTTGAGTGAAAGGTGCATGTGGGTTGGCTAATGCAAAATTGGGATGGGTATTAACAAAACTATCAATAGATGGGAACTCATTGTAGTGTTCTACACACGTACGGTACCTCCCGATGGGCACGGAATTCAAAACTCTCAAAAATATAATTCAGGGTGAAGCTTGAGGTGATCTGAGTGAGGCAATAAGGCTTAAGAGTACTGCATCCACTGACGATCTTGACCGACACGAACTTCTTCGGGAAATTTGGATAGTCAAGAGAAAAATCAGCGAAAACGGTGACGTCAGACCAAACAGTGACAATGACATCGTGCATGTGCTGCCAGGTAAATAGTCATTAGTCATTAGTCTGCTTCCTCTAAATATTGTGCTAATAATTAAAAAGTGTTAGGAGCTTCCAGATACACGGTCATCGCTCCCTCAGTCTGGCTTCCAGACGCACATTACAACCTTTCAACACCGTCTGCAAATGGTGCCCGATTAAATTTAGTGCAAACTGTATGGGAGCCCAGAGAGGCCACATAAAGTTTATTCTCGATCGTAACCCCATCAGCAGGATGTCATTCAAACCAGTGAGTCTGGCGGTTTTGAGACATCATCTTACACTGAACAAAAAAAAAACTATTCAGAAAGGTGGGGGAAAACGTACCGGCCATCCGTTGATCCGGTAAAATCTAAAAGTTGTCCAGTGGGCTTTACAATTTTGTGCGATTAATGCACACAAATACATCATGACAGGAGCACAAGTTATAGCTATAAATCTGGAAATGATCAGTCATATAAACTCCAATGACTCTCTTTCAAATGTTCAATATTTCATAACAACGGTTAATCCAAGCAGGATTCACTTGAAGTATTTTCAAAGCTCCGATTTGATTTCAGGAAGCTGACCGGACGGAAATAAAGTGTGTAAAGTTGCTTTGTTTTAGGTGTTTTATGTATTTTTTTTATATATACATTACATGTGCATCCTCTTGACGTAACTATGTCACTTTCGAACATTTGATTATGATTTTTATTAGGTAAACCCACAGAAAATTAACAGAACAACACTTACCGCTACCAACTCCTGACAAACACTGCACTCATAGGATCTCCATGAATAGCTATTTGAAAACATGTATTCGTCTCCTGGGTCGAAGTCGGGTCGGTTGTCTATCCATGGTTTAGTTACAAATGAATTGACATATTCCCGTATCTTTTCCTGGTCATGCCAACGGAGAGCTTCAACACTTGCTACATTTTGTGAAAACAAAATGTGAATTAAAAGCAAATGCAATGGACTATATTGAAATGTGTGTATTCAGCATACGAGTACTCCATGCAGTATCAAAGTATCTAAACTATTTGTGTATTATATTTTTGGTGACAGACATAATATTGGGGGGAAATGTTTGGGGGAAAGTTGTTTTGTTTTTGTTAATGTGTACAAAGTACACTCTTAAAGTCACAGTCCATCATTCCAGCTATCCAAAAAATAAACTGACGTAATTATTCTTGAAAAGCACACTTGGTTTGAATATAGTAATGGGACTTAACTCCCTGTGAAATTATTCTTATCTGGTAAGCTGTCGTTTTAAAGAGATCAACAAAAGAAGGCCTTTCCAACGATGCGTCTAATGACGAATATTTTTTTTTTGAACTTTTGAATAATCGATTGAAAAGCTGGAAGTAAATCAGTGACGAATCGAGGAAAACAATAACTATTATGGTATATTTGCAAAATCGTGTTTATTAACAACCCCACAGTAGTTCCTCAGGACTACCATGCAAAATCCAACAGAGTCCAACCTTAGTTTCCTGCTCAATCCACTGTGCCTTCTTTTCAATTGTCTGTTATAGATCAAAAAGAGCTCCAACTTAGCGTTATAATGAGGTTCGGTTGCCTGCTGAATCCAACATGTTGCAATCAGGAATGCACACCAGGGGTTTACTGCTCAATCTAACAGGCTCCATCGGGTTTAGTATAGTTGGATCATGTCGGATTCAGAAGGGTTAGGGTTGACTTCAAATTCAAACTTGTCCTATTCTAATGCGTTTCTTAGCAACAGCTCATAACTTTAAAGTTTCACAAAATGTACAATCTCATTGTTCAGTACTAAGGATAGATTTTTACTATAGAGGTTGGTTTTACTTTTCCGTATACTGACGTAAGTTGTTTAAGTTTGCATTTGCAATTTCAGCCCTGGCAGCGACAAGCACTTTTTATATATATAAAAAAAGGAATTCTATGCATGTAAACCCCACCACATGTTAGTGGTTACAATCTAATCTCGTTTTACAAGACAGTACGCGTCTTCAAGTGTTATTTGTTCTAAAACAGTAAATTAACTGTAACTTGGAATAATCTTTCTTTCTCGTAGCTTCCTTTTCTATCCCTTCTCTGTGTAGCGCTTACCTCATGTGACTCTTAAATAGAGCGTTGTGATGTGCAAATATCACTTAAAAACGGTTGAATAATGACGTCGCACTTGTTCTAGCCTGTCAGAATGATTTCTTCTTACCTATGTCATTAACAGATGTCATTTTGTTCTCTGCAGCCCTCCAGAAGCAACGGAAATGATACCAATTTGACTGCATACCGTCAAAGTATGGCGACTGAAAACACCAAAAAAGGCACATAATTATGTATACTTGAAACAATCACGAGTACCTTAATGTTACATCAAAATAAATTAGACATAGGCCCTATACCTAGTTAGAGAGCCTTGTTTCCATATCGAGGTAGGAAAAAAAACGCACATAAGACCCAAACTTTCCAACGCAGACATACTATGGAAAAATTTCATCCACATACACATTTGTTTATGGTGTAAAATCGAGGATTTTCCATTGTTCCTCTTCCCTTTTCCTTTGTTTATAACTTTTTTTCAACAACTCTTATTGGTTTTGTACACTTTTTCTAATCCAGGTCGTCCTCGATTTGGTTCCTGTCCTCAATTCATCGATGATGTTGCACATAATTTATGTGTGTCCTCGATTTACACCATTAACAAACACAGACGCACACAGCGTGGGGTAGACCTTTGAATCCCTTCTTTTGGTTTCATTTGTTCCCATTAAAATCTCAAGCTCCAAAGCGCTTCCCTTATGGGGTATATTGATTTCTACAAACTTCCTTATGGGGTCTATTGTTGTACTAGTTCCATATCGACGTCAAAATTATGCAGACAGTGCGCGGAACCGTCGGCAAAGTTGAACGGGCGATTTCTGCTGATCGTTTGCGAGAAGCTTGGCATGTACAGGTTCCTTAATGGGGTAGAAAACACATTATCTTCAAGTAAACTTGAATCCTCGATCCTGATTGGTCGATCCATGGCAACAAGCCGTGCTACATATAACCATGTCATGGTTACTTGAAGATAAATATATATATAGGCTTAAAGGTTCATAAAAACGACCGCACACTGCCAGTGTCGTGTTAAATTTGGACTCCCATGAAATCGGGGGCCGTATTCACAAAACTCAAACTTAAGAGAATGCGTAAGTCTGACTGAAGTCTAAGCACCCTGCTAACTTAAGTGGAGCGCTTAACATGATATTCACGAAAGGTCTAAGCATCCCACTTATCTTAGTGAACATAAACGTTCCTATGCAGCGACAGTACGCAGTTCAATCAATAATGTAAAGTTCAATCAATAACGAAGTTTTGTTGATCCCAACACACTAATGTTTATCCTGAAACAGCTTTCATGACTTGATTGTTGGATAGCGCAGTCCATTTTTTACCCTCATTCTTGTTTTAATTGTACGCTTCTAACAAAAAGACTCCGAAGCAAAACAAGTGTCATCATGCCATGAATTTGCACAGGCCTTATATATAGGTAGGCCTATATGGGGAACTGTTGAATACACTTTATGTCGTAGAAATTGGCATTATGGCGTGAGAAAAGAACCAAACTTCCAGCGGCGTAGCTACGGGGGGGGGGGGGGGGGGGCGTGGGGGCGCACGCTGGCGGGTACGTGTCCTGTGAAAAAAAATCTGTCTGAGGCCAAAACAAAAATATATTCGGTCTCTGGTCAGACCAAAGTTCCGGAATTAACGCGGCGATGCGGCTTTTTTTTTTTCTTTTCTTTTTTTTCCTTCTTCAAGCTTGGATTGTACAGACAAGGTGGGGTACTATTTTGCTTTTATGGTGTCCTCATGTACATTGGTGTCCTCCATAATATGCCTTGGTGCTTTCGATCATTTGCCATGGTGCAATTTCCCATTCCTTGGTGCTCTTTGGTAAAACAAATTGAGGAGGTGCGGAAATAGAGGGCGCTGTTGGAGCTACCGCGGAACATTTGGGGAAAAAAGATCGACGCGCATGATTAACATCGACGCGCGCGCTGACCAGAGACCGACTTATTATTTTTTTTGGCCTAACTCTCAGCACAATTTGTTGGGCGCCCCTCCATTGTAACCTCAAGCCCCCTCCCCCCCCCCCCCCCCACGGGATGGGATAAGAACCCTGGCTACGCCGCTGCAAACTTCCAATGTTATGAATGAATCTGTATTGACGTCAGATACTCAGTCGTAATATCGTAATCTAGTGATAAAAAAACATGTCTTTTATGTCCGTCCGGGGCCACCGTAGATTCGCCATGCATCACTTCGACGTCGGTCCACAGTGCTAGTGATTCACCATTTTGCACACCTTATTGAACATATCACGTTTACTGAAAATTTAGGCTTACCTGTACCATCCTGCCTAGTCGCAGGTGGTTAAACTCAATGTTTTTGTTGCATCGTCGGCACCTTGCCCTGCCACTTTTGGCATAATCTACCACGAAGGGGAGATCGGCTAGCTGTGTCTTTTCAGCCATTTCCGTTGTGTGATATTCGCACTGCACTGTCGATCATGCGGTGTAATGCCGCGTGATTGCCTAGACCCGCCCGCTGACATCGACAGGTCATTGCTGATCTAGATTGAACTCTATGGTGAGTTCAAACTGCCAGTGAATATTAGGAGGCAAACTTTTAAAGAACAAACACAGGGGTCTGTGCAACATTTTCTACATTGGTCGGGACGGAGGCATATCACATAAAATGACTGTACGATAGCCAAGACATGTCACACAAAAAGATTTAAAGACTCAACACGATTGGGGAAATTTCATTTTGCCATGATGGAATTGTTGGTGTAGGTCTATGTTGTTCAGACGATTTAGAAACAACTCAAAGAGTTAAATACATAAAGTCAGTAGGGCTAATATAACAATCATCGTTAGACACTGTTTGTCAAAGATTGAATTACATATCGTGAGTGCTTCATCATAAAAATTCTCGGGCATCTGGTATGAACTTCAATTTTGCTTTCAAATATGCCCTAGTGTAATTCTCCCTCACTTCCAATCGGATTGCGGTTTCTCCCTTCGAGTTGATTGTGATTGTAATCTGCAAGCCTATTTCAATAATCAAGTTTGCCGTTCAATCGCTTGCCCATTTAAATCGATTGATGAAATGTGACATAATTTTGTCCAAAAAATATGTTTTGACTATTGAAGGATTTTTCAGGATATCCCAAATGAAAGTAAGCGAGAATCATCTGGAGTTTATATTCTGGGACCGAATTCACAAGTTGATGGACTAAATTAGTGTGCAAGAATTGATGAAATGTAACACTCGTATTACATTGTATTACATTGTATTAACTCCTCCATTAATCGGTAAAACCATAGAGTGCGTGCTGGGGCGGTTTGAGGCGATATGAGGAGTGATAGGCTAGGCTGGTTTAAGGGCTGCGTGATATGAGGGCTAATAGGTTAGTGTGCAAATACGGAGGAAGACAAGTCCCGCACAAATTGATAACCTCCCCACATGCAGAATGGACTTTAAATTGTATTACATTGTATGGACTCCTCCATAAGTCAATAAAACCACAGAGTGCCGGGCAGTTTGAAGCGGTATCGAGGAGTGATAGGCTAGGCTGGTTTAATGGCGGTGTGATTTTGAGGACTATAATGGGTAAGTGTGTAAATACGGAGGAAGACAAGTACCCCACAAACTGATAACTCCCCACATGCAGAATGGACTTTAAATTGTATTACATTGTATTGACTCCTCCATAAGTCAATAAAACCACGGAGTGCCGGGGCGGTTTGAAGTAGTATCTAGGAGTGATAGGCTAGGCTGGTTTAAGGGGCTGCGTGATATGAGGGCTAATGGGTTAGTGTATAAAAACGGAGGAAGACAAGTCCCGCACAAATTGATAACCTACCCACATGCAGAATGGACTTTAAATTGTATTACATTGTATTGACTCCTCCATAAGTCAATAAAACCACAGCCGGGCGGTTTGAAGCGGTACCGAGGAGTGATAGGCTAGGCTGGTTTAAGGGGCGGTGTGATATGCGGGCTAAATGGTTAGTGTGTAAAATACAGAGGCAGACAAGTACCGCACAAGAGAATGGACTTTGCTTATCGAGTAGTATTTTATTCGCATTAATATCACGGGATACAAAACAGGCTAGAGTAAATACTAAAGTCCTTTCACAAAGGTCTACAATCCTTTAATAGAAAATAGGTATATGTATATAAATATTATGTTGGCTGCACTGCAAACAAAGGCCTACATGGTGTCAGCGAACATAAATGTAGAATAACAGTACTACTGGGTCTCACAGCTTTAGTGTACCCAAGAATACCTCTTCTTTGTTTGTCTCTCTATTTAACACTCCATTTCTCACTATTATTTTTTTTTATCAATCCGATCAAATTCAAATTTGGCACATGCTTGACCATTGATGCAGTCTCAAGATGATTGCCGGAAATGACATGTCATATTAGCTGTCACCTGATATCAAATTGAAGGTGTCTTTCCATTGTCCTTGGAAAAAGGATTAAACTATTTTATGTATATTGTATAGGTTTTAAATGTAAAACAAAATTTAATGACGTACGTCATAATAACACCATAAGATATTGTGATTTTTCAGTAGATTTTTTGATGTTGCAAAACAGTCACGATGATTAAACAAAATCATATAAGGCATGAAAGTTCTAGAGGACATAATATGCCGGTTTGCCAAAATAAGGAATGACTTAGCTGTGACGTCATCAATTAATTTCTTCATGTTTTCCCCTATTTCCAAGTTTGATTAAATCCTAACTTGATAGTCTTTGCGCATATTATTAAGGTAGCGGTACGCCATTAAGATCGAGGTCCGCTTAAATGATTAATTTAAGGACACCAAGACAACGATGATAATTACAGAATGAAAACAGGCGTCCGCCTTGTTCCATAGTATTTCAAAAACGTGTTTTTTTCACAGAGGCTTTACAATAATTCTGGCTTTTGAAACCAATCTCGATTTAGGCTCACAAAACTAGTGTTATAATAATGATGAAGAAGATTATATCTCCACAAGGTCTTTCAAGTTTTAAGTCAATTGTATACCTCCAACTTCATGATTCTAATAAAATTCTAAACTCTAAGAAATTAATAGGGTTTGGATTCCAAATTCTCTAAATTATAAATTCCCAAAACTCCAGGTCGGCGTAGGACTGTGGGGAACGACAGCCTGCCAGATTACACCTGATAAGAGTATGAAGCAAAGATCGAATTTAATGCGTGCAAAAAAAATGCAGTCGCCACATGAACCACACACGAAACAGTCGTAGCGCAATAACCTACATGTAGGTTATTTCCACGTGAAAATCCCAAATCTCCGGAAGTTTATCACTCAATATTTGCAAATCCAGCATTTGTTTCATTGCTTCAGGCCTTTGGTGCAGTTACTGCAGCGCCTCATTGCATCCGAAAATTGAAAAATCTTGGACATCAATTAACCCGGTTGCCACCCTAGCCTGAGCGAAGAGACATGCAATGCTTTGCAAAGATCTTCTAAGAACTTGCCTACGCTTAGCAGCGACGTTCTTGAGTCTTGAGATTTTGTCAAGACGTGTGTATTGTTCAGCTTATTTTGTGTGTGTGCAATAACAGGCGTCGATATGAATGAGTGGGCTTATTAAGGGGCCATGCAAGTTTGTTGATGCAATTCTTGAAAATGCACCTGTGTGTCCCATTAAACCTTATTTTCAATTTTCGTTTTTGCCTTTTTTAACCCCGTGCGTACGGGAAGCGGTCATTGCCGCGGCCGCTAATCCTCATTGGAATGCAGTTGCCAACTGTGGTATGCGGTGGCACACGGCTAGTGGGTAGTTCCACAGCTGCTGCTTTTGTGCAGTCCCGCTACCACACAAAGGCTGTGCAGTCATGCGGGCCACTTGCTCTATGTGCGGAGGAATGTCCCCATTACAGCCCGTCCTTAAGGGGTTAAGGGTATTTTGGTGCCTTTTTGGTGTTTATGCAAACGCGAATGTCCATATTCATGAGCAAAAAAGTGATGTCATTTCAGGCTGAAACCACGATGCGACATTATTTCAGCACCAAAAGTTGCCAGAATTGTGAGTACTTTGCTGTCGTAAATATTCTGTTCCTTTGTTGATCTATTGTTGTATAAAAACATTGCAGTGAGACAGTAAGGAAACCTTTCCCACAGATGTTTAAATGAACAAATTGTGGGATTCACAATTTGAACAGAAAACTAAACTAAACAGTGTCTTCATGAAACGACATCACAGCAACAGCGCCCTCAGTTGTCTGGATAAGCATGGACAATTTGAAATATTTAAAGAAGCAGTGGCGCACCCAGGATTTGGTTGGGGGGGGGGGGTTCACAATTTTTTTCCCAACAAATTGGGATTTTTGTTTAGGGGGGCGGACTATTTTGACGTTGGTGGCGCCACTTAAACCCCTATTGCGCCACATACACCCCTGTTATACTACTCGAAAATAGGCCACATACGTATTACCAAGGTCAAATCGTGGGACAACAAAAAATACTTTATAAAAGGACAACCTCTTGGGGGCTCAAGTCCCAGAGTCCGCCCGGGTGCGCCACTATAAAGAAGTGCACTTTTCAATGAATTTAACCAAAAAGAGGTCAAAAAGTTCTCATACATTTGTACAAAACATGGTCCTATACAATTCATTTCGTGGAGCCTTTACACTGGACTCTTTGACTACTATCGGCACTTCACATTAATTTGACCTAGCTAAAACGACCTGCGGTACAGGTGAATAGGTATTATATGTATGATCAATGGTTAGGATATGTGAAGGCCGTCAATCTCTGCATCATTTTGGAGAGCTTTAGTCGCCACTGCACTTGTGCAGAATTCTTTCAGTCACAAGAATGACGACTGCGACGCCAGAGACTCCACCAAGCATCCAAAACGACGTATCGTAACTTCCTGTAGCTTCGTAGGTAACTCCTGTTTTAATTAAACACATGTTAAACAGATGTAAGAACATGAGAAAAATATCACATCGTTTTATGATTATCCGTACGTTCATAACATTCACACACGAGCCAGAGTATTTCTCTGTGAACGTTTGGAGTCTCTTTAATTTACATTTAAAGGGTTAATTTTGATTAGGTCGGGCACTTTGCTATTGGAATTAAACAAAAGACGCAACTAAAATCAAATATTTAGGCCTACCTGCCAAAGCCCCACCAGCTAACTCTCCAAAGGCGAAGAAGACCAATAATGTCCCCCAGCCCTGGACACTCAGATCTTTACTCAAGACTTGCTGGGCTACCTGAAGAAATAATACAGCCATGGTGGGAATGCCAAGTCCATTAGCGAAAGCCACACAAACGAGTCCGGGGTAGTTGGCTGAAATGATAGGGTCAAGCACGAAGGCAACTAAATCGATGAACGCCAGGAAGGTGTAGAACTGAAGTGCTGTGACCCATCCAGTATGCAAGAGTAGTCCCTGTAGTACCCGACCGACAATAGTCCCAACTCCGCCAGCGGTGGAGAGGAAGCTCGCCATTTGACTGTTAATACCTCTCGCAATTGCATGAGGAACGAGGAAAATCATCCAAGCGCTGTACATGACGCCAACTAGGAAGCTAACAAGGGCTTGCATGGCGAACTTGGGTTCAAACCACAGAACGTCCAGAGCCAGGACCTCACAGATACGCTTGAGGATGAAAGTGCAACATCTCCATAATGTACATCCGTCACTTTGTCTTGTGCTTTCACGAGAACCTCCGTCCAGTGCCGTGTAGGTTGACGAGGCCGGCTTGATAAGCGCACCCAGAACGCATATATTTGCGTTCAGAGCAGCAAATAACAACATGGCTCCACGCCAACCGTAGATGTCTATCAGGAATTCCGCCAGAGGAGGGCATAACATCATTCCAACACCGGCACCCGTGCCCACTATGCCTATAGGCAGTGCCGGGTTAGTTGGAAAATACAGCAGCATTTCCACAATCGGAGGTCCGTAGCCCATAGCAACACCGACACCTAAACCATATAAACCAAATACAACAATCGGCTATATTTTTGAAAGAATGGGGGCCGGCTGAAACGGTACAGTTTTGGGCTTTATACAGAGGTAAACTCCGATTGTTGACGTCTGTTTTACACGTTGCCATAAATAAAACATTTCTGTAATACAATGAATCTGTTATTTTAATATAAGTATAATCACTAATATACATGTACTTCGATAAAAGTTGACATTTTGTTTCAAAACATTTTCGTCATTACAGCCCACTTTTTCGTTCCAATATGAAACTATTACAATAATTGGCACCATACTTTCCGGACGGAATTCAATTAGTATTTTGTGTATCTTAGAACTCACCCCAAAGAATCACGAACACCGAAAACTGAGGGAGGTTGTTTGCGGTGGAAGTTCCAACAAAGCACACAAACGTGAGCAAGCCCGCTGCAATGGCCAAACGTCTCGCCCCGTACGTCTTCGCAATCCTGTTCATCAGTGGAACTGTATCGAAAATTAGGAGATTTATTATTTTTTTTGGTAAGTTAGGTTTAATAGGGGGATGAGGCGGGGTGCAGTTATTTTTTAATGTAACCAACTATAGTTCATTACCACAATGCGCATGCGTCAGTTGGTATTAAACGGAATGGTTCTCAGTCTTGATGAGGCTCAGTAATGATGACGTCATACTCTGTTCACGTGTGCACTTTCCTATGGAGCCAGTGGGGGCCCACGGTCCAATGCGCACGCGTAAATAAAGTGTGATGTCATCAGTACAGAGGCTTATTCCCGTTAAAAAAATCATACAGAGCAACGAATGAGAAGAAAGGGCAGAATTTCATTTTATCGATCACCAGGAATTGATTAACAACCCAATTTAGGGAACAAAATGTACTATTGGGGGGGGGTAAAATGTATGCCAAAATTACAGTGGGTGTAGGTGTTGTTATGTTTATTCGTTTATTGTGAAGCTGTTACTTTGTTTTGTTTTTTTGTAAACAGGCTTTTCCTTGACAAGCCCCGCTTTTTTGGAACGTGCCTCCACATCTGTTTATATTTATTGTACTTTTCTTTATGATTATGTGGAAATAAACGTTACTTTGAATTGAATTGAAAATTCTCTCCAGTAATTGAATTATTAAAACATGTATCCTCCAGCATTCAGATCAGCGATTTAACCATATACAGACTATATAATGGATACCAAGCTGACATCTTGCAATATAAGCTATACTAAACTTACTCCAAATTTGGTTAAATATTTAGTTGTACACGTGATATGTTTCACGCATGTGCATTATGCTCATTGACTATACTTTGTTGCATAGAAAAAGTAATTGCCGGCGGAGTCTACAAATTACGCCTGACTACACCCTTTGCCGATTTTCCATGGAAATATCGGGGGTATATTTCGTTTTCTCTGGTGAACTTATCAACAGATAATACTCATCACTGAAAGGATAGTCTTCAGTCACAGGTTTTACGATGATTTGGCAACACCATTTTATAAAAGAAGTTTCCTTGCCTAATTCACTTAAGAAATTTAAAGCTATAGTCCATCATTTGCAACTATCCAAAAAGTAACTGACGTAATTATTGTTGACATACTTGACTGAAAGATAGTAAGGGGACTAAACTCCCTGTTAAATTATTCTCTCTGACAAGCTGTCATTTTGAAGAAATGAAAGAAAGAAGGCCTTTCCAACGGTGCGTCTTAAGACGCACCGTTAGAAATTTCCGTTAGTAGTTCGGGTTTTTTTATTCGGCGAAGCGCGCGCAAGCATTGGCACGACGTACACGCGTGCGCGGCTGCTATAATTCGTCGGATCAGTGCGCGACATCAATGAGCTGCAATCGGCTCAGTGAGAACGTGTCCTGGACGCTAATTCAGGCCCAATTCAAAACATGATTTAGCAACTTTTGATTTGAAATCGAGATCCTAGAATGCTGTTTTATCTCAAAATATACAGCTGTAAAAGCTGAGCTGAAACTTTATCAGGTTAGTTGTTCGGCACCCTTGTTTTGTTGCTTCAAACGAACAAAATGCACCAATTACAAATGATGGACTATACCTTTTAGTTTGCCTGATGCAGCGCAGCACTGTGGTGTGATACTGGACGATTACTTTGGATGGCTTTTGATAATTTTAAAAGTACCGTCTGGAGCAACTGAACACCACATATGTATGTTTTGAAGTGTGGATTGAAATCCTATAGCCTGAAACTTGTAATGCTGACTTACTAAAAATGAATCCAGTGGTGTGAGTAGCAGCCACAACGGTTCCAAGAGTTGTAATTGAGCATTGTAACGATTCCTGAACGGGCAGCAAGAAAACTCCAAAGCTTTTGAATGTCCCAAGTAAAATTAGGTTAGCGGCAAACGCTATGGCGGTCATCACCCAACCGTAACCGCCATCTTGTCGGCTGGAATTCTGTCAAAAGGTAATTAAGTGACACAAGAAATAATCATTATTATAAAGATTATAACTGTTAGTGGTACCTGTAAAAGACATATTCTCGCCATTACTTGTACCTTAGAAAGCCACCAAGGGCGGATCCAGAACACAATGTTGGGGGCCCAAAAAAACTTGTGATTAAAACCTTCCGAGCACACATTATTGTACATGGTCACACAGGCGGGCGAAATCTTTGAAAATTAATTTCTCCCGTTTGGAAGAGTAGGAACCGCATTTTCCTGCAACTTTCAGGGTTTATTTCCGTTATAATGATCCAAGTATGTGCTAAAATCGTTGTGATATGTTTTTTACTTTTCGATGATTGGAAAAATAGGCCTAGCAACGTGCATTTTTAAAAGTTGTAACACTGGTGTTTGCAATATCTGTCAATCTTTTCTAATTCGGATCCTAAACATTATGGTGTGCAGTGAACATTTGCAGAAAAACCTCCTTCACGAGTCATTAATTAATGAATATTGTTTGCAACAACAGAATAAGCTGCAGTTGTAGTACTCCTACTCGGTACTCCTACTCGAGTACTACTCGAGTACTTTTTTGGAGTACTTGTACTCGTACTCGTACTCGAATGTCAAAGTACTCGATATGACGGTACTCGTACTCGAGTGGCAAAGTACTCGTACTCGCACATGTCGAAATTGTTCTCGATCATCAAAGTACTTGAACTCGAATAACAGTAGTCGATAAAACAAAGTACTCGCACTCGAATAGCGGTACTCGATAAAAAAAAAATGCAGTATATCACTTAAGCTACCACGGCCTTATTTTATCGATACTTTCGGTTTCAAATGGTCGATTGCAGAGAAATCGAAATGTTCTCTACTCTACGCACGTCCGGACAAACACAATTAACAGCTAGCCATGACTGGGTCTGTTTGTATGTCTGACTGGGCCTGGGCCAAATACGCACAATGACCCATTTGCCGTATGTGGGCTCAATGGCCAATCATTGTACATGTACACACTGTTCGCCGAGGTGTTCATCAAAATGGTGGTACGATTAACTTGGGTGATTGGAGCAAAGCCGTTTTCTGAACCCCGGATTCGGTACTATAATACGGGTCCAGCCCCATTGCCAATCTGCATGACTGGAGAAAGAGACACAGCCGAAGCCGAGGTTTGAAAAACGGCCCCTTGTCTGGTTATGGCAGCAGGTTCACAGCGGCCTAGCCTTAAACAGAGGCCTATGAATGGGAAGCAGACCAAATGACAAGAAACGCGAATCTGCCGACTTCGTTGCATGCACGTTGCATGTGTATTTTTTACGTGTACGCGTACCGTCAACGTTCGCTTACGCTTGCATTGATTTTGTCTGAAAGGACAACTTGGCTCAGAATGTATGCTTGCATAGGAGGGCTGAAGGAATTAAAAAGATTTTTGTAACAACAACTTTTGTAAGAACACTCAGAACAGTGGTTGAAACTAAGTTGAAATAAAGAAATCTTTTCTCAGCCATTTGAATGCTTGTTGTATTCTAGCCCCCGGGAACGGGTGCTGTGGGTGCTGGCAATAACCTCGGCCATGACAATGGCGGCAAAGTTGATTTTGCTTGCCAGGATTTTTTTCATTCGATCGTTCAATAGGCGCAAATATTCATACCTTTCCCCTGAACGTTGCTAGCATTCTGTACTCAACATTAACAAATAGCAAGGTTCACACACATCCCCAACCTAATAGAAGTGGGACGGGCTTTCATTGAAACTAGTCATCTTTACGCCAATTCCAGTGTAGTTTCGTTTTAATAAAAAAGCTATTTATGTTTACCCGCTGCAAGTTTTTCCTCATAAAAAACTCAGTAGACCGATAAATCCTTGCCTAGCCCCAAACTTGCCATCTACCGATCATAAACATAAAGATGCATTTGGACTTTTAGTCACTTGTACTTGTGGGGTTTTTAGTCTGAGGAATAAGGACCCAAAAATACAAGAATAATAATGCACATACTGCAGCATTGTAGATTACTTTTATTAACTGACAGTTGACCTAAACTTTCATGTCTGTATCTCAGCTGTGTAGCATTTCCTTGGAAAATACTTCCTGCTGTTGCCGATTAAAAAAAAACAAATTAATTTCAAATAATTAAAAAAGCTTACACAAAGACGAACGCTAGTATCAAAAGTGATTAACAGTACACATCAGTTTAGGCTTCAAGCATAATAATGTACCCGGTGCCGTATTCGGAAATACAAGTACTGGTACTCGTACTCGCACTCGAAATACAAGTACTTGTACCCGTACTCGTACTCGGAAGTGGAAGTACTCGTACTCGTACTCGTATTCGGACGTCCAAGTACTCGCACTCGGAGACATGTTCTTGTACTCGGAAGCACAAGTACTCGTACTCGTACTCGGCTACCAAGGTACTCGGCAGTATACTCGGTACTCGGAAAAAAAGTAATCAACTACAACACTGATAAGCTGAAGTTCGGAATACACTTACATGATATAAGGTCCAACTTCTCGTGAATTGACAACTTTCGGAAATTGATATAAATACATAGATTCGGGGACGTTTTCCACAAATTTCTTGCCGACTTAAAGGTCTGCTTTATACCAGTAACCAGTATTGAGGTTGCGGCATCGATGACGGCGATTTTGTTTACTGACCTGAAGTTTAGCATTTCTTCTTCCTTTATAATTTCACATTTCAATCACACTGAGCATATTTTCTTAGAAACACAACGTTCCAAAAGCCATGTTTTTTTGGGGTGCACGAATTACACTGGTCTGTCTCGTCACGTTTCACCTTTGCATCCACACGGCTGATAAGTCACGACGCGATATACACACATCAGGCCGGGCAAGCAAACAATACCAGCTATTCCCTCCTAACCGAGACACATTTTCAACAGACACTCCACTGGTTTGTATAAATCATGACTTGAAGTTATAAGTTTCCATGTTTGAGACATGTCTATCAATTATAAACAGATTAAGCATATAGGGCTAGTAAAAGCCCAAGTGTTGGGTTCCATGAATTAAAACTGCACAAATTTGGATATTTGCCAAACATGGAATTTTCATCATTTTCTAGTGAATTGTCTTGAAGTTATCAAAAAGAAGGCAATCTCCATGTGGGTTTTGATGAATAAGTGATTTATAAAATAAAAATCGTGGAAGTACCCTTACGCTGAATATCCATTATCAACTGGTCATGATTTTGATATAGTTCTCACCAAATGACCAAAAAAACCATAATCCAAAGTTAGAATTTGATGAATAAAGTCCTACATTCAGTTTTCATTATTTGATTTTTGGAGTCGAAATGTGGTGAGTAACTCCAAGGGTTACTCACCCACATTTGGGATTTGGTGAAATTCTTGTATTATCTGTATAAATCAGTGACGTATCCAGCGGGGGGGGGGGGGGCACTTTGCCCCCCTGGCTGATTTTTTTGACAATTTTTTTTGTCAGCAAAAATAAATGTTTACAGAGTTCTTCTGACATCAATCCCACCAAAGAAAACCCGCTCACCAACCATTACAATGCGCAGTGATAATGTCCAAATAATATGTAGTATGCATAATAATGGTCAGTTTTGAAGAGCGTCCCCATTTTGAAAATGTGTACCAGCCCCCCCCCCCCCCCCCACCCCCACCCGACATCAAAAGCTGGATACGCTGCTGGTGTAAATGCAGTTCAATAACGAATCTGTTAATTTACTAATTGCATTTTGTGGTAACTTACTTGAGATTCGATTGTGTGGAAATGGTTCACTATTGGAATCTTTCATTTTTTTTGTGATGACTGCAGTCTTCCGGCGGTCCGATAATACAAGTGTCATGAGGGATGACATCCCGCCAAAACGTTTAAAGTTGATAATTCATTTCTAGTGAGATAGTATACACACTATTCCTAAAGGTCCTAGCTGGAGTTTAGTGCAGTCTTGGATGCATAGCCCATATGGAGACTCATGCAGTACCCGAATCGTGGCCATGTCCATATGCTTTAATTAAATATTATTATCTCCAACAGTTTATTTTGCCTGTTTTTCGATTTAATAAGGTTTTGCCATTAGAGTGAAAGCCCATGAGCATGAAACCAGACTAATTCAAGTGTGTCGGTCAGTATAACTATTCTAACTTGAACGCAGTGTAAATGGGAATGGAAATGCATATCGACGTTCATACACCATATACCCACTTCCTGCACCCTGTGGACCTCTTTCAATTTGTTCACGGGTCCGCAAAGAGTATGCAGTATTACACACAAGTTTATGCATTCTCCAGTGAATGTTTACAAAACAGTTGTTTAACCTTCCATCCGAGAAGTGAACTTCAAAAGTACAATCTGTACAACGTACAATCTGATGTACACCGTGCCCTCTGTAGACGTGTGTACAATTGGAACAAAATATTGTATACATCTCCACTGGGCAACTTCTACAGATGAATACGTCCTCACAAGGTTTTCACACAATAGATATATGGATTTTACTCAAAAAGTAGGAATTTCCAAGCTATGTTGATCAGTCGCAAATGGAAGAGTTTTAGAAAAGGGTTATTAAGTCCAAGTTTCAGCCAAGGAAATTAATTAATAAGAGCATTTTGAAACTGTACTTTCAAACTCGAAAACTTTAGTACACGAGAACAAAGATATGTCTCCAGGCCACAAGGATACAAATTTCAGTATGCGAACGTGTGCACGTGTTGTAGACTTTATACCCACATACAGACAGACATTCCGCTCTCTGAAAACAGTTTTACTGTTTGTTAACAAAATGCAAACAAATATATAACGTAGAATGAGTAAACAACATAGATAGTATAAGGTTCAAATACGACTTTCCACTTTAAAATGAGACATCAAACCTCCAAATCTGATAATTTTGACAGAGTCAAGAGTTGTTTTCCAAGAGAGGTCAAATTGATCATGGGAGCAAGTTTTCAATTTTAAGCATTAGACAAAGGTAGCCCATTAATTGCCTCTGTGTGGATAATTGCCTGGCCTACAAAACAAACGCATTAAGCGAATATAAACACCATTCTAAACACTTTCTTGTTATCAGTTTGTATACATGTTTACATGCTAAACGTTTTTAGCATGAGGTTATGGCAAGAAAGTGTTTAGAATATTTTGTTTGCATAATACCAATGAAAGAAGAGCATTACTTACTTCCATTTCAAACCGTTCACGTTGTCCACACTACACTAGTACCGGCCAACTCCCACGCTATGCGGACTCTCAATAGTGACGATGAAGGGCAGAATGAATCAACTTGAGGTGCTTCTGAGTTACAAAGTAGGGCACATGCATCCGGTTCGTTAGTAAAAACGTCATACACGCGCGCACACCACTGATTACTAGCGCCCATTGGCTGCAAACGCTCGAGCTGCGTTAACTTCCGGTTCCAATCGTGCAGAAAGTGCTGGAGGTGACGTCACACTAACGAACCGGATAGAAGGTCACTCGCATGGCAGCGCTTTACCAATAAAAGGATATACATACCACAGTGGTTTACGGGCCTATTTGTATAAAAACCCCGCAGATATAATTGCAGGTGAAACTGCGTGTAATGCCTTAGTGAACAAGTCCAAACAGCGGCACATCCAGGATTTGGTTAAAGGGGGCTCACAATTTTTTCCCCAACAAAAATGGTGTTTTTGTGTGTGTGTGGACGGACTACTTTTACTTAGCGGGCGCCACCAGCTATCAATCCATGCAACGATATCGGGGAATTTCTCTTTGCAAATGGCTTGAAATCTATAACATAACATAACAAGTCATAATTTCATCACATGGCCGAGGCCCGTCTAACAAAAGTCAAAGGGAAAATGCTGAACACAAAAATAAACACGGAGAAAACATGATGCATTTCTATGCCCAATTTTCTATAGCTATTTAATTAGTCTGCGGACTTCAGACTTGTTGTAAAATGTTGCACACACTATCCAGCTCTCAATCTATACGAAAATATTGGATTAGTTTTTCATGGCAAATGGCCTAAAATTCGAAACATAATCAAGTCATATCATCGCTCGCAAAGACTGGCTACCCATTATCCACGAAACCCAGGCTCCTGTCCATATGCAACGTTTGATATATCCGCATGCAGAGTTATGCGATCTTGCTCCTCAGCCAATCGGAGTCGACTTTACTAATTCGTGATATCATTTATTCGCTCGTACCCACCGCCCTAAACAGGGTGCTGGGAAGGGCTGATGAGCTTCACAGAATATTGTGAAGGAAGTGGGAATGGCATACTGGGAAATTTGTCATGATCTATGAGGGCGTTCGAATCATTTCGAATACTTCCCCCGCGCTTACTCGTGCAAGCACGACTGCGTTCGATTTACCTCTCACGTGACTTCTCGCGTTTACTCGAGCCTGGCCCAAGTCTTGCTAATGGAGATCAATGCAAGTAACCGAATCGCCGAGCCGGTTTATAACAACCTCGTTCCCATGGGTACGAGTTCTTGCTGCGCCATGTTGTTTCCCATCATGCCTTGCGCGATCTCAACCCCTGGAATTGTGTAATTTAAAGATATAGTCCATCATTTGTAATTTGTGTATTTTGTTCGTTTGAAGCGACAAAAGTGTTCAAAATCTAATGGAGGATACTGAACAACTAACCTCTCCTCTCCCCTGTCAAACTGTCCACCCTCCCTTCCCTCCCCCCCCCCCCCCTCCCACCAACCCATTCTTACTCGCATCAGTCTTCAGTCTTTTCTGGTCATTCTTTTCAATTTCCATTTTTTGTTTACTTTCTGATATATTTTTGCTTTGTCATTGTACTTTTGTTCATTTGTTGGCCGAATAAATAATAATAATAATAATAACAACCTGATGAAGTTTCAGCTAAGCTTCAGCTGCATATTCCGAGAAAAACAGCATTCTAGGATCTCAATTTCAAATCAAAAGTTACTGAATCATGTTTTGAATTGTTTTGAATTGCAGCTATACGCGACGTCGCGCACTGATCCGACGAATTATAGTAACTGCGCGCGCGTGTGCGTCGTGCCAATGCTTGCGCGCGCTTCGCCGAATAACAAAACGAACAACTAATTTAAATGTTCCTACGGTGCTTCTTAAGAAGCACCGTTGGAAAGGCCTTCTTTCGTTGATTTCTTCAAAATGAGAGCTTGCAAGAAAGAATAATTTCACAGGGAGTTTAGTCCCCTTACTATCTTTCAACCAGTATGTTTTTCAACAATAATTACGCCAGTTACTTTTTTGGATAGCTGCAAATTAATGATGGACTCTGCATGGCTTTAACTAAGCTGAGGAGATCTAGGTGCTCAATTTCCTCTTTGAAAGCTTTGACATTGGGAGCAGAGCGAATGTTGGGTGGTAGTAGGTTCCATTCCCTTGTAGAACTTGGATAGAGTGAATATAGATAGCCATGGGCGTCGCGAGGGGGGGGGGCAAGGGGGGGTACTTGCCCCCCCCCCCTGGAAAAAGCAACAACAACAAAAAGGAAGAAAAAAGGGAAAAAAAGAAAAAAGAAAGAGAGGCGCGAAGACAAAGTGGTGTAAATTTAATGAGTTGGGGGGGGGGGGCAAAATGTCCCTGCCCCCCTCTATCTAACTGATAAATCGAGAATGTGTTGAGAAATACAAGCATTTTTTTGCAAAACAAATTTTTGCCCCCCTCTAGAAAAAATCCTGGCGACGCCCATATAGATAGCACAGTTTGTTGAAATTTGGCGAGACAATGATGTGAGGACTGAAGTCCTGTCTTGTTGCATGATTGTTGTTACTCTGGCTTGGCGGCAGGTTTGATGGTATGATATTGTTGACTTCCTTGTAGATTGTTGTCAGTCGTAGTCGGATTCTGCGGAGTTCGAGTGCCCCATTTGAGAGAAGACAGCAAATGCATGCTGTTAACGCTGGATCTCCGATTGCTATCTCGCCGTGGCGATTACTATCTCCCCGCCGCGAGTAACTATCTCGCCGTGGAGAGCCTATCTCGCCTTCTACCGCTGTGACCCGGGTTCCAATATCACGCCTGGGCCAACATGTGGATTAGGTTTTTAGTCCTCACCTGATTCCCTGGGTTTTCCTTCCACCTCTAACACTGTAACTTCTTCAGGCTCCTCTGTACAGGTTTCTTAAGGCTTGTGAGCTACAGTGCCTCTGACGAATCCTGGTTTCAAGCTTCGGTTTATTGTCTGACCTCCCAATACTATGGCTTCAAGTCCTGTTTATATTTTCCTTGTATTCTGCTGTAATAGTTATTTCTCCCTTCTTTGAATCCCTACGGTACGAGGGCAGGTAGACCGGGTAAGGCTATTAACGCATTGATGATATCCATCAGGATACTGCCAACGTATAACTACCATTCATGTCGTAGATCGTTCCT